GTGATCTATCCAGTCAGGATAGAATAACGTTCATTTGTTGTGATTGGTAATTTTTCCTCATCTTCTATCAGCTTCCTTATTTATTGCAATTTAGATTTAATTGATTGAACAATCATTGGTTGAATAGCCGGGTGATGATATTTGTTTAGGTATTGATTTACATTAAATTTATTATGAATTATAGAACTGCTAGTTACCCGATTACTTGTTCTGATTTCGAAGAAAAAGAGCGCGTGTCTAAAATCCCCGGTAGGCTATTCTTCAACATCCAAACCGTAGTTTGGATCCTACATCCTATACTTTCAGCTTCTTTTTGAACCACGTTCATTTACACATTTCTTTGTCCATTTACACCATATTTCCACCTGTTTTCTTGAACCTACTAGAATGTTCTTGCATTAAAAGTACCTTATTAACAAAAAATTGGACTAAGTAGTCATACCTTCATTATTTAACCACAAATGACTCATTTTCAATATGCATGAACGTTGTATGCTTTGTTGCTTGTCCTTTTGTTTGTTTACCCTCTTTTTCAGCCCTGTAAAGATATGTAACCAATAACGCATATTATTATTATTATTCACAAACATCTTATGGGTACATAAGTGTTGTGAAGAAACCATTTCGGGTTACTTCAAAAATGCAATAATACACAAGTTTCAATAATGTTAGCACTATATTTGCCATATTTGAAAAAAACAGATTAATAATAATAGAATAATAATAATAAATCAGGTTCTGTGTAATTGAGAAGAAAATTGAATTGATTTTAAAGAAGGAAAGAGGAAACGGGTGACTTTGTCCCGCTCCATCATTAATGCCTCGGATGTTCCATCGAGATATACAGTCTACGTCTATAGAAGCTCTCAGATTTACGTGGATTTGTAACAGCTTTACTTGATTAGTTGAGTATCGACCTCAAATAACTAAGTACATGTCAAAACAGTAGAGTTCAAGTATCCATTCACTTCCTTATTTTGTATAGACATTATATTTCCTATTATCTTGTATTAAATTTTGAAAAGCTTTATGTATTTGTACAGGCAATCACCGGCTCCATTGTGACTGTCACGCGATCTATATGAAGACCTATTCTCCAGTAGTCTGGTTTCTTCTATCAGTAAAACGAGGATTACCTACAGGCACGGAACTGGTGAACCCGACGTGATACGAGCACACAGACTTCCGATTATCAGTTGCACGTCTCAGCGCAACCTCCATAAAGCCGGCCAACTGTCATATTGACAACACTTGTCTTACTAATACTGTGGTGTGTGCTACTTATATTGATATAAGTAGTATATGTCTCGAGTTAAAACGTAATATCTGGCAGCAGAAGATGAGGTGAAGATCAAGAAAGGAAGAGCGAGTGCACAATGGAATTTGTAAGAAAACGCATGTACAATGGAATGGGAGACAATGGATTAGTGTTTGCAACGTAAACAGTCCAGTTTGATATGATGCATTGATATTTTGTAAATTGACGATTGACTTTATGGTATTCAGATTTTATTGAGATAGTCTGTAATTTTTGTGCTAAATACATTCGATTGTCCCCAGTCGTGTTCTTGTTCACTACAATACTGTTTACATTCATACGTGAGAAGTATTATCCCTCATACTTTTATGACCAATGTACCTTATAAAATATCAAACTAACTGAGTAGCCCACCATAGTGAAGATTATGTTCTGTAATAATTTGATCTTGCCTGTAAACTGGCATGCCTCATGTAACAGGATGTTATTTGAGAACAAATTATTATTATTATTTGTAGTAGTAGTAGTACGTGATCATTGGCTCGTAACTACAAAGAGATCGGAAATCGGTCTAAAATACACGGGGAATGTAGCCAAGGCAAACTCAACTCTCCAGTTAATGAGTAGACAACTTGGGTCAATTACTCAAGAGTTGTTCTTAGGACTGTTCAAAATGTACGCACAGCCCCACATTGAAGTCCACCATGTCACTGCCCCCTTTCTTCTCCTTGAACTCGAATTATCACTTTATTTTTTAATATTACAACCAGTTGGCCTCCTTTCTGGTAATGTGATAGCTGCTGGTATCTACGATCCCTACTGCTTTGAGATAAACGAACTCACTCGGACTACAAAACAAGTCCACAGTTAACTATCAAACTGGTTAAAATTATTGCACTCAAGTGGCTTGACTACCACCCATTGGACATTACCAAGTGCATGGAACTGTACTGAAACAAGAGGAAGAGAGAGCGAATGAATCAACTGGCTTATACCATCTCGTGACAATGATGTTGAATATTGAATACTGGCGTGCTTGTTTCTCAATGACAGAAAACCAGGGATTTCGGACGGAGTGGAAGTACATAAGATGCACACCCAAGAGTCTATCAGTCTTGATGAATCTGTGTGGTGCTCAGTAAGACAGTCTAATCCCTCGAGGTGTCTAGCTGGATTCATCTACAGGAGGCCCTCTGTTGACATTAAGTTTGACAATAGTATGCTGAAGTGATTATCCCGCTCTACTTGTCTCGTATACACTCATATGCTGATTCTAGAAGAATTCAATCTTCTCAAAGTCAATATCTTTGAACATACATACGTTGGAGGTGACAACTCCACTGAAGGTGGGTTCTTCAACCTCATTGAAGATCTGTGTTTATTCGAAAATGTCAGTTCAGCAAGCCATTGGAGAAACAGTCATAGGCCGTTGCGTTTAAACAGGGTATTTACAAACGAAGAATTCCTAATTGACAAACTCTCAATCCTCAATGTCCTAGGGAAGAGCGATTATGCCGCCATAGCCTCCAGTTTTATGGGCGAAACTGAGCTAAGACATCCTAATAACAACAGACGCTGGAATTTCAAACGTTTGAATGTGTCTGCTTTACAGGACAGTCAACGGCAGGTGGACCGGGCACTTCAGTCTTAACTTGATGTGGATGCTCATTGGGAAATTTTACTCTACACTATCGTATGCACTACAAAGCAGCCTGTTCCGCAAACGGTCCCCAAAATTTACAAGTAACCTACAGTTATCAAGAACCGTGCTCTTCGTTTGCTAAGCTTATAAAGGCACTACTGGAAGAAATACTTATGAACTTGTAACAACAGAGCATATAGGCGATTCAAACAAGCAAGGAATATATGCAAAACGGCACTAAGAGAAGACAGGCTTCAGTATCAGATAAAGCTTATCAATAAATCTGTGTTCAATTCAAGAATCATATTACGCCATGCAGCCTCTCTTCGGCGAGCCAGAACCGGTGTTTCCCAACTGCTAGATCCTAACGGCCCAACCAACAACTACGGTGATGCCGCCGACCCTCTGACAGAACAATACATTTGAACATTTCAGACGACTCATACTAACCATATTGATGAGAGCCTCACCTGACACCCAACAAGACTCTTTAAAGTGAACTCGAGCGCTGATTTGGTGTACCGGAAACTGCAGCACCTAAAAAGGACACTTCGGGTCCTGATATGGTCCGCTCTTCTATACTGAGAGATTCAGCTTCATCTTTGGCGACACCAATTAGCGTGATGTTCCAACATCACACCGATTTTTGAAGGAGGTCAACGCAAAGAACCTTCAAGCTACCTACAGGTAGCACTTCTATCAACACCCTTAAAAATCATGGAGTCCCCTGATATCCAACGGTCTACACGAGAAATAACTGTCCACAAAATTCTTTTCACCCCAACAGCACGATTACAGGAAAGGTCATTCTTGTACAACCAACCTGCTGGTCGTGGTGGGCAGATGGACAACCGTCCTTGACCGCAAGAGGGAGGTTGACGTCACATATCTTGATTTTTCAAAACCTTTTGATAGGGTTAATAATATATGTTTTGTCAATAAGCTCAAACGATTAGATATCAAATCACCTTTAATTGGTTGGTTCACTTCATATCTTAGAATCAGCATTTTAAGGTCAGGGCTAACTTCACTTTCAGTCTACGGAGTGTCTTGGTGGGATCCACTAGGGCTCAGTACTAGGACCTCTTCCTTTCTTGATTAATATGAACGGCCCCCCATGGCGGCTATCGTCAGATTTATTGCTTTTTGCTGATGATGAGAAACTCTGGAAGGAAGTATGCAACCAAGAGGATAAAGTGGCACTTTAGGTGTATCAAACTCGATTTCAAAGTTGGGCGAACAACAACGGACTAACCTTTAACACTTCGAAGTGTAGAGTAATCCATTAGATACATGTTGCAGACTGTGAATAAAACTTAGGCAACTCCTCTTCGGAGGTATCCCATGTTGAAAAAGATCTAGGGTGGTGGTACCCTAGGAGTTGAAATCTTACGCTAACTGCAACGAAAAAATTTTTCGAGTAAACCTTGCACTGGTAACGTTGAAGAGCATTTCCAGCCGGTTAGACGGAAGAACACTTCAAATAATCTTCAACATTTTAATTCGACCCTATTTAGAGTATGGAAACATAGTGTTTCCTCCCTCACTCCAAAAGGATAAGGACACTGTGGAACGTATCCAACGGCGAGTAACGAAATCAGTTCGAGGTCTCAAATCCAATTCTGATGAAGAGCGCCTCCAATCACTGAACCTTTACTCACTAAAGTACAAGAGTCACAAAGGTGACTTTCTAATGACTTATAGCATCCTAAAAACTTCTAGGCATCCCCTTAGACACCTACAGATACAACACAGCATAAAGTATTGTATATACAACTTCTACTCCTTAAGAGTTGTCAAATACTGAAATTCACTGACGGTTGAGCTATCCCAAGCGGCATACTAGGAGTCCTTTAAGAGAAAACTTGACATATTCTTAAGGACTAAGGATAGTATCTTACTATGATTCATCAATTTCTTTTTCCTCTTTTATCGTTAATATATCTAGGTTTCTGCCTGAAAGTATCTATGATCCACTGCTGATAGACACGGAAGCCCGTTAAGTGAAAGCTTCTCTTATTCCGTTCATAACTATTTGAACCATTTGTACCATGTGGAGTGTCTTTCCTTATTTTTAACCCTTCAAGGTCGTTCGGTGCTACAAGGTCAAGGTAGGTCATACTGATCGCAAATTATCGAGTTCCTTCGGTTGTAGTACTCCGTTTATGTGTACCTGATTTATGTTATCTTTTAAGTAACAGCAGTGGTTCGCCTGGCTCACGTCAACCTTCGAAAATATCCACTGAAGGAGGTAATAGATTATTGTACATCCTAAATTAAATAACTTATGCTTTGGTAACCTTTACGATGACATGCACTGCAAGAGATTATAAATGCTGTTGCACTTTTTAAAAAATATTTTTGAGCAAATTACCTCAGATTGACCAAATAAAACAAGTGCCGTTAATACGTATCCCCGAACACTGCCTACTTCTACAGTCGGTGTTTTCTGGTGTAGGAGTAGGCTGGGAGGAAGCAGGGTGCGGCCAAACCAGAACATGACATCAGTCCATGAAGTCACTAATAATCGGACTGAACCATGTTAATAGGTTTAAACTGCCTGGTTGAGGTCCACGTGATAATCGTAACCAATCGTTATGGTCCTTCAATGACACGGCTCGAAGTCATTTGCAAAGGTACAAGTGTGTCTATTCTTTGTCTTCTTTCAGACGAGTTCGTAAATTTTTTGTCTTCATTTCACCAATTCATATTGTCTCGAATTACACCTTCAATACCTAATCTTTCCTGTTACCATTGATACTGAATGTATGGATAAATGTGGCTGTGAAAACGTGTTTAGACAGAGCTTTACTTAATGCTTCGATGATAAAGTAAGTAAGCAGATAAAAAGCAAATAGTTTTGCTTTTATGAACTCTTTAAAAGTGTTCTTATTGGATTTTTGTTCTGGATGACAAGTAAAATAAGGACATGACAGATGCTAGTCAGTCATCTACATCGTAGGACCAGAAACATATGCATCAGTCCAAGTTGCCACACTTCATTAGCACAACAAGATGAACACCGGATTCATAGAAGCAGTTAACTCAATGGTAGCAATATATAAAAGAAAGATTGCGTATAAGGATATAATAAAGGAAGAAAGAATTAATTTGTAGAAAGAAAGGTATAAAGCAATTTTAATCTCACGGTTTAAGGGAAAACAACGAATGTATAAACCTACGCCAGTTTGGTCGATTCTGAGCAATGTCACTCAGAGTCTTCAACCATTGGTTACGATAGTCGTGTGGACTCCAACCAAGTAGTCTGCATCTACCAACATGGCTCAGACCAGAAGTTAGTAACTTCAAGGACTGATGCCACGTTTTGGTTTGGTCGCTCCTAACTTTCTTCCAACCATCATCAACACCGGTTAGCATTTCACATCGTGGTAATCGGCGTTCAGGTATAAGTAACACGTGGCTCAACCATCTCAGTCGATGAAGATTCACAACCTCATCAACTGATTTACCATCATTCCCCAATACTGTGCTTCTAATCTCACTATTACTTACCAGGTGATTCCAGCAAATGCAAGCAATATTCCTAAGATACCTGTGATCAAATAGCATCTGTCGAATGCTAAGATATTGTTCAGTTACTTCAGAACTATAACTAGGTCTTATCTAGTCCTTCGATAAAATAAACATGTTTAGTTAACCCAGTCTCACTATACGACCGCTTTAAAATCCCAGAAACCAACGTTTTCTAATAGCTCTTGGGGGTGATGAGTCTCTAACTATCACAGAAATAAATCATACATTCAGTATGATATCAGCCAATTGGTTTTAATTTGTCTTTATTGTATTCCGGATCACTGTGATTTTGTGAGAAGTGATGACTACTCAGTTTAATAAACTTTATGGTAAATAATCATTAACTAGTCGATACATAATTGAATAAACCTGGATGTAATCTAATTTTCTTCGGTTTTCATCAATACACCTTTCCTTACAAAACTTTTCTGTTTTCCAATCAGTTATGGGATGGTTGTTGAAGCGTTATTTGTATGAGTCGTACAACCTACTCAGTTCGTATATATCCCATCGTGTATTGAAAAAACCTTCCACTAGTTTGTAATCAGAAAATACCGAATCTAATCTCAATTCATAACAGCAGTTCACTATTTTCTGGACAGGATATGGGTGTTTGTGTAGAATGCTTGAGTTACAGTCTAATGAGCACTGCATTCAATTTCACGAATATATTAACATCTAGGCGGGTGAAAACTCTACACATTGGTTAAAGGGTCTCATAACTTCTGGTAGTTACTGTGTGACTGGTAATCATCTCCAGATCACTGTTTGGAAAGTAGGTAAATAAACGTTATTCACTGTAGTTGTTTGTCTTGATGAACAATGTGGGTTTGTATTTATTTGGCTGTTCTTAGCCTTCCACTCTGTAATGACCAGTAGGGGTTGTCCAAGGATTAGTTCGTGGCTTCAGAACTTAAGAACGTACCCAAATAAAGTAATGTCACATAAAATGGACCTAATTGTATCTTTCTGCACTGCATCGTATGAAATATGTGATGTAAGTGATGCTTGTCTCTGTTTCTTGTTTCGACGTTAAGAATTTTACTTTATTTTAAAGAAAAATTAGACCCGGTTATTGAATGGAATATTTTTGAATGTCAATCAGCAACAAGGACGTGATTGCATTATCAAAGTAAGTCTTGCATTTGTGTAAATCAATAGCTTAAACTTTTAGATTTGGATTTATCATTTATTTATTTATTTAAACACATAAACATTGGTACAAGGAGGCACCAAGTACATATGTGCCACATAAATCATTCGACTTGTGTGAGGGCTGGGATACTGCCCAGGTGCCCAGACCAAAGCAGGTGGTTTTCTTAGGGGGCCACACCCACAGCCTTTGACCTGAAGATCTGATCCACAAGGCAGTGGAGCGTCGTGAAAGGAGATGCAGTCCCATGGCAGCTGGTGACCAACGATTGGTTCATACGCCATTTGTTCCTTCAGGATACTGGAGCCCATATGCACCATTGGTTTGGAATCCGGTTAAAGCACCGGACATTCGCTTTTCGTCCTCTCAATTTCGTAAACAACACTCCCGCCACGAGAAGGCAGTGAGTAGGACTTCCCTGGCAGAGGCTGTATACGCGTGGCCGTGTGAGAGCATTTCGAGAGGGAGGGAGGGAGGGCCCACCCACTCTCGGCCATACCAGGGCATTTGGGGGCTTAGATTTGGATGCTGCTTCTGGTCAAATAAACTCATGTTTTTAGACTACCATATATATTTTCCGTAATAAAACAAAGTTATAATGTCGACAAAAAGATTCAGCATAGATGTCTGAATAGTAAATTGACGAGAGGTTTCATTTTTATTTGCATTACGTTTCCTTAGCATCCTTAACTCGAAGAGTCTGTTTCACAAGCATAAAGCAGAATTAATGGAATTGAAACATACACTTATTTTTTTTACTGACGGACGTCGAATGTGAATTAGATCGATATTTCTTCTTTATCCTTCACTAGTTTGTGGTCATCCTTCTACTTGTTTATTTTCCATTTGCAACAAATGTCCTGCTTTGTCCCCATGTTTCCTTGTTTCTGTCTTTTTCCCCTTTGTATGATGTTGTAGAGTTTAATAACTTACATATGCGGTTTTGTCTGAGATTTGTTTGATTCACCAAGAGGTTTAGCCATCGACAAGGGATTAATATTATTGCAAGCATAGTCTTTAGTACATTATAAACAGCGAAACCCAGTTATATCAGTCAAAAGTTATTCGTGATGTTTTGGTATTCATTTTTGTGCCACATAACCCTAAATATTTTTTTAAAACACCATGTGACATTAAGCTGCTCTACCCATTGTTGAATGTCACGGAACGAAATTTACTAATTTCTGTTCGGTTATTCTCTTTTCTTACCTACTTAAATATTGTGACAAACTCTAAGGTATCATTTTTCCTTCGGAAAACTTTATCCTTTTCTCCATGCAATCAACAGATTTCTTATCGAACTCATCCTTTCAAATGTCATCGCATCACTTCATGTAGTAGATATTTCGTTGTCCCTACTAAAGCAAATCTTTATTTTCGGAAAATGAGAATAACAACAATTGATAAAAACATTTAAAGTATTGTTTCTTTTCCTTGCTTTGATAGCTTTCTTCATCCCGATCGGATTTCTCGTCAAACACTACAAGGTATTAGTAGTGCAGCGCAACAGCAATTCGCTAAATCAGACCGATATAAACTATGCCGTGTTTTAGTTAGTTAATATACTTTAAGTATTAATTGTTTGCTCTTTTTAGATGTTTCTCCTTCAAAATGACTTCCTTCATGATGGAATAATTCATTTTGCAGCTGTTTATTTATTGTGGGACTTGTGGAAATCAGATAACTCTTCCATCAATAGCAATCCATTCACAGAGTTTTTAATTTCATTTATGGTTAGCTTGTTTCGCATATCTATTCCTTAATTGTGTACAAAATTCTAGCAGGATGAAGTGCATTGCAAGTTGCCGCGATCTGCGATTTCAATGTTTCATACAATCCTTCGTCAACCCGATCAAATCCATGATGTATGTGGCAGTGTGTTTTATTAATATGCTTCAAAATTTATCCTTTTTACGAACAGTTTCTAAAGTATACTCCAGCACAGATATTTGATTTACCGTATCCTTCGACTGACATTAGAGTGAGTGTGAATATGTATCTGTTTTGCTGTCTATTTTTTAATGGAAGTTATTTAGAAAAGCATTATATCTCTATTTTATTCCTTGTCATTCAATGTAGCTTGATTGGGATCTGGTCCCAGTAGCCAATTCACTGAAATCATCTGGCCGTGTTTCGAAGTTCGCTGACTCTGGAATGGTTTGTATTGTTCCTGATGAAGATATTCCACGTTCTTTTGAGTAAGTTTATTTGCTCTAGTATTCCAAACCCCCCTTTTGAAACTTGAAAAAACTCACTTCTGTGGTAATTTGGGTGATATTTACAAACTCAGACTTCATAATGATGTAATGTTTTATATTCCTTTTAACCAGTGAATGTATTTTAGATGCCAGTTCAACAATAACCTGATAACAGAAATTACATAAAAATAACTTGGCCTGTTCTTCTGTTATTGCCGTCACTATATACATAAATGTATAACTTGGTAATAAATTAACTGAGAAGAATTCTCTGAATTTCATGTTATATTTTTATTGTAGGCCATCATTTCACTTGCATAACACAGATGATTCATGTGGTACATCTGAATTACAACGTCAATGTTTAGATTCTCTTTTGTTACGTAGTGAGCTGTTAATAGGTCGCAATAATGTCTTCCCAGAGTTTCTTCGTATTTCCCCACCTTTGTTACCATGCCCCCAAGGAATTGATCAGATTTTATACAGTTTAGATGAAGAAAATGAATCCATCAGTCGTACAGTTTCAAACTTTAGTCCTTCAGAGAAAAGATCTATCAAGAAGTCTAAACCCACTTATGGCTGGTCAGAAGAACTTATTTGGCTTAATCCAGACATTGTTGAGCACGATTTCCATTGGAATAACAGTATGGAACTTGTTGATATAACAGTTGAGGTGAATTTTTAGTTAACATTTTTATGCGTCTTAGCATTTTTTGCCAATTAGTTAATGGATTAATTTTTGTTAAATGTATATGAGTACTTTTCATTCAAGTATAATAATTTGGGTAATCTGCCAAAACGGTGCTTTCACCAGTTTTCATAGAATAACTTTCACACAGATTTTTCTCAGACTTTCAGGGCTTTTTCAGGGATTTGACTTACCAAGTTTTTTTGGTGATATTAGAATAAGATAGTAGACCTTGTGAATCACTAAAATTCTTAGATGCATTTTTTTCAGTACTTACATTTGAGTTCACTGGTGACAAGTTATAATGAAATCTAAGACTTCTAGAGATAATTGGATGAGTCCTCTGTGATAGCAGTGATATGTGTGAAATCAGAAGATGGACTATAATTTCTAAAGCGCTGATCCCATTTGTGATTGATAGTTAGATATAATTTGGGATATTGGTTTACAGATTGTTATGTAGATCGCAAAAATTCAGACTTAGATAAAGGAAATCATTCTTTATATGAAGGAGTCTGAAACAGTAACTTCTGATTGTTCTCACGATTGGCTTCATAACCTACTAAATTCAGTTACTTAACGTATATATATATATATAGTGGTTAAAATTTCTTTTCTGCTCAGGTTAAAAACCCGCTTTTGTAATAGAGCATTTTACTGCAAAACATTTACGATAGCGATTGTAGTAGATCGTAGTAATTTCTCAGGCGTCTAATAATACTCCTCATACTGAAGGACTGTTTACTTGACTAAATACTATACTCTGTATAGTTTCTGTGTGATTTATTGATGATTAATAGACGTCAGTTTCAGATTATGCCCTTTTACACATTTTGAATATTTCCGTGTAATGATCCATGATATATATACTGGATTCACATAATATTATTGGTCACACGGGATCAGTCATTTCAGTTACACAAAACTAACGGCCTACACACATGTAACTTCATAAAATAGTGATCCTATCGAAATTAGTCTGCTTCATTGTAAACTGTACTTTATCAAGCGGTTAGTATCAAATATATGTATTTCTGATATTTGTATTTTATAATCTTCGTAAACTATGTTTCTTGTCTTTTAACATTAGCTTCGTCATTTGGTTTCCGCAGCCATGACATCCACTTTAACCCAGTCGCAGCAACAAACTGTTGTTCAAGCAATTAAGGATAATCCAGATGTTATTTATAATGTTGGTATCACTCCAGAGATTGTAAGTTTATCATACTAATCTATATTTTCTACTACCTAGAGTTGATTGATTGTATATTTAACTTAGTTTTCAAATGACCAATAGAGAGCATACTCTTGTTTATCACAGTTCGAGTTTCTCAGGTTAAAATATTTAATGGTTTAATCTGTTGACTTTCAACTATTACTCTGTTGTTATTCCGAATTTCACTATTTTGACTGTTCTAAATAATCAAGTAACATCCATAATTTGCACAAATGAAGTATGACAACTGCGTTTGCTTAACTGTTAACGGTAACTGTGACAAAGATAGAAATTTATTCCTAAGATTTGTTACATTTGCTTATTAGTTTAAATGAACATATTTATCGATAGGGATATATGAATAATTCAGTTAGACAAATATAGTAATAGTTGGACGTACTTCATATATTTTATATGCATTGTACTGATTTATTTTTTCCTACTCCTTATTTCTTTGCTACCATTTATAGCCATTATCTATTCATTATTGATATTTGATATCTAAACAATAGAAAATATTTTGCTAGGTAAACTTTTTTATTAAAATAAAATGAGCAACATGTATATTTACTTTGAAATCGCCTCCCAGCCCTGCTAACCGGGCGGAGAAGACCAGGTTCAGCTGAGGGATAGTATATTCCACAAGCAGTCATAAGCACAAACGAACCAAGCGCACAACTCAAGCGTGTATATATACAGTATAAAAAGGTCCTTGAGAAACCTCATAAAATAGCGTATTAGAAGAGGAAACGAACCAATGACTTTTAAAGCCCTTTCAAGTGAGAAATACAATCTGAAGGTAAAAATGGGCGCTTTTGGTGCAGAAACGGGAAATTCAGATTTCCAAAATAAAATTGCAAAAATAAGATGTTTATCAAGTGATTTCTTGAGATCTAGCATCCCTAACGCATTCTGAGTGGATTTTATGAAAATCACTAAATAGACAACACGTTGTTTAAAGGATCATTTATTGCGTTTGAGTCTCGTTGTGAATATGAACACTGAGATGTAGGCCTCACCCAGTTGACTAGTTTCAAATAGGATAAAATCCCCATCCTGAATTTTATTGTTAGTTACCATTCAACTTTACTAGATGTAATTGTATTACGTTCTGTATCTTTAATTCTCTATGACGGGTACGGCTGGTAGGGATGCTCCTGAAGTCTTAGCGTACAAACTTCATTGATTTAATGAATAGTTTTATAATCATATGATTTTAATATTGTTGCTTGTTCTTCGTTACTTTTCCACTGGGCCATACAACCACTGAATCTTTAAAGGTACCGAATTTCGTTAACCGTAACCCAGTTATCGCTATTGAAGTTTTACAATTATTGATTACATCACCGAAACGAGATGAGTAAGTCCTTTATGATTTGTTTGTTTGTGCGTGTGTGTTCAGTTGTAATTCCCCTATTTGTTTAGTGTTTCTTATTCGATTTTCATGTTCGTAATTCTTATAATTCTATTTTGATATCCTTCTTTTCGTAGTCCGTTGTTAATTAGTGTGTTAATCTGGGAAAATGTCTTATGATCACAAGAACTGTTGTTTTTTGGCAATTTCGTTGGCCTATATTTTCTTGACTTTTTTGTTCAAGGAACTTAATTCAACAGTTAAATATATAGTGTCTTGTATTTATTCTTTGTGCTGAGGATTAAAACTGACCAAACTCCCTTCAGCTTACATACAGGCTAATATGTTTAATTATTTCCAGTTGATAACATAATAATAAAACTGGATTGTCAATCAATAGTGAGTAATTTGTGTTTAATGTGAAAGAACTTTAGAGTGAAAGTCTTAAAACTGGCATCTTTCCATAACTTAACATAATACTTCCGGAATGTTAAGATGATTTTTACTGGTTGATATGTTTTTTTTTTTAAGTTTAGAAAGGAAAACTAGACGTGTAAGGTCAACTCACTAGATTATGATTACAATTAGTTGAGAAAAGGGTCAAAGTATTACTATGACAGTTGGAGGTTAAAAGACTGACTCTTTTGAAATATAAAGATAAGATATAAATCTTCTAATTTCTATGACCTGCAAATTTCGAAAGTGTAGAATTAAATTGTTTATTAATAATTCATTAAATCCATATTGTACCCCGTGCCTAGTGGTTGGCGTGCTATTAAACATCGTAAGCAACCTTCTACTCGAACTCACAGATTCTTTGGAACATACTGATTAAAACGAGTAGGAACCCGTCTTCCTATCCTTCTGATATACGGGCTTTTGCATGCACATATCAATGATTTTATTCAGTTTGAAGTAACACATGATGGATATTTGTCATTTTTTTGCATTATTTAACATAGTTTGCTGTTTAGTGAAGTCAATTTCGCTGTGCGGAACGTGATTTTTAAAGCTGCTTTTAGTCCTTGATTATCTTTATCCGTTATTCGATCACCTTTCAGTGACGGTCAAATAAAATCATTCTTAGTAGGTGTATATTCGTCCATCTTACTTCGGTAATCAGTTCTATAGTTAATTATGATTTGATTGAAGGTATCCATCCTCTTACAATGTTTTTATTGTATACTCCCTCTCGAGTTTTGCTGGTGAGGCTGACTTTTTGGCTTTGTGGTAAAACATTCTCATCGCCCCATATCTATACCCAATAGGGTCTAAGCTGTTAGAGTTTAGGTGTTGCTCACTCTAGATTGCTTTTCGACGTATATGCTTTTGAAAAGTTCCGTCATTTCTTCTGGCAATATCTAAGTCGAGGAAATGGAACGCACTATTTATTTAATCTTCAACTTCAAGTTTAATATTAGTATGGACTTTCTTGAAAAAAATTCAAGTATTTTGTTTGCGTAATTTACGTCGTTGCATAAAACAAAAGTATCGTCGACGTACCTTGCACAGTGTGTATTCTTGTTGTTGACAGTAAGTAATTTTGTTCTTTCCAAATTCGCAACATATATGTTGGCAAGAACAGGTGCCAAAGGATTGCCCATCATCACTTCATCTGCTTGACAGTATAATTTAGTGTTTAATTTGAACTAGACATTCTTAGTGCGTAGTTCTGACAACTGTTTGAGGTGTATTTATGGTATGGATATAAGTTATAAATGTTTTGTAATGATGCTCAATTGTTTCTTCCAATGGGGATATTGGTAAAAAGTGATGATACATCATGAGAAACCATCAGCTTATTTGATATATTTGGCCTCTCTTAAGGATTTGATATAGAATCATACACTGACTAACTAAAACGTTTCTAAATAATTTCTTTCTACCCTTACTTTTGCCTTTGCGTTGCTTAAATATCTGCTTGAAGACATTCGCACATCTGGAGATTACCATAAAGCTACCCTGTCAACTATCTGAACACACTAAGTCATAACTCACTGATATGGTTGTAGCTTTTCATCTTTTCGATGCTTATTATAGTGTAATTGTTAAATATACAGTTTAGTTATTGTTCTTCATCTAGAAGTTATGCAATTGAAAGACATGTGAACTGTGTTCACGACTCACTTTTCCTTATCCTTTCAATTCAACTAAGTGATTATGTAAGTAATGTCTTGTGTATTCCGTATCAGTTTTTTCGTCTTTATACGTTTGTTGGGAAACCCTGTGAACATATACCTGGTAATATAACTTTGTTGGGATAATAATACAATATCAATATCTATAGATCACTATCACTCATTTTAACTGTTCTCTGTTAATGTTACTATTTGTTTTGTGAATCTTTTTTTCTGTTTCTTGACTGATTAAATTTGGGCAGAACATAAACCTCTTTATTTTGATTGCAAATAATCATTGTAATTTTTCTATTGAAAATAAATAAAGGTACTTAAATGCTCTGCTAAAAATGGAAGTTACTGTACAATCAATTGAAGTGGTAAATCGACTATCTACAAAAATTGCATTACCTACAGAGTTTATACAAGATTATATATCGAATTGTTTAGCATTTTGTTATTCAGTAAATGACAAATTTTATCAAATGAGACATGTTCGTTTAGTATGTGTACTACTACAATCACTTATCAGGAATAACATATTGGATATTCATAATCAGGTAGAGTTTCTGTTTGTTTTCTAGTTGTTGTTAATTTATAAGAAAAATCGAATTAAATTCAGTGATGTCAAATATTCATATTTATTTAATGGAAAGTAATGAAGGTGATATTTCGGTGTTCATTAGTGACTGATGTTTTATGCGATAAAGGAATTGGATTGTATTTTCAGACAAACGGATATTTTGTGCTGATTCTAATGTTACATGATACTGAGAAGTAATCGAGTCTTCATCAATATCTACTTATATGTAAATAGCAGCATATCTGAGGTTATGGTACTAAGTGAATTACGTTAAGAGGTTTGGATTATGCATTTTATCCGTGAATGTTCTAAAACTACTGTATCACTAAACTTGATTATCCAGTTTCCTAAAATCATTCTTATCCCATCGATTTGTCTTTATTTTGTACTTACATGTATACTTATGACAAATACATTTCACATTGTGTGAAATATTGGTTGTGGGATTAAAATTAAAATATTGGTTGTGAGTAGTTAGTCTACAGCATTCGGCTTCACGTCAAGAAATGAAAGGAAAAAGCTAATTATCTTATGTTAACAAAAATTTTTATGCCAAGCTGTTGGTTTCATGTTGTCGACCCTATGATGCCACACGGTCAAATACCTTAAATCAATCGTATTTAGTAGCTTAATTCAAGATGGAATAAAATGAAAGTTCTGAGATGATTTGTCGTATTTGTTGGTGTTTTGAAAAACCCAGGGGACCTAATACTGTCACACATCAAAAAGGTAAACTGTGAGCTAATTACACTATATCTGATAAATTCGAATCAAACTACGTTTACAAACTGGGTTCTAGGCGACTAACACAATTCATTGAGCGGCTTTTAATGTAAAAATGGTCATATATCTAAATAACAGACTGTTTATCGGAATTTAAAACAATATAGGTCTCATTATATCCGTGGATTGTCATCGTTAGTTTTGTAGACATCAAATTAAGTCAGTCTCTTTACGTTGAAAAAAGTTTTGTTGAATTTCTAAACCAGTCGCAACAGTGTAACTGGATTTACATTTGATTCACAAATACTTGGCTTTCGGTATACTTACTTTGTATTCTTACTTTTCAGGATATCTTAATCGAAGTGAGGACTTTTTGTTTAGAATTTACTAAGGCTCGGGAAGCGACCACTCTTCATAGACTTATTTTGAATATGGAGAACACTAACACAGCTTCATCGGCTACAACGTTCAGCAACAACATTGGCACTTCTACGACTACGACTAGTCCTACTTGTTCATCAACTGGTATACCACAACAAGACATTTCTAATGAAAATAAAGAAACCTCCTAATAACTGGGTTACTATTTTACATTACAGATGAATTGTATAGATCATAAATAAAGACACAAAGGTCTGATTTTTATTCGGTGATATACAGTACTGACAAAGCGAATACTTATTTGTTTATAATCCTCACAAACAGTTACTTGTTGACATTGGTATAACTCCCCATGAAAGTACGAAGAAGGAAATTAAAATTGTTCAAAAGTTTATTGATTCATCGCTACTACTGAAGCAGAAAAATAAGTTTACAAGTTGTATATATATAGTGAAGTCAAAAATAAAACAGCAAAGAACCTTTTGTCGCAAACGTCTTCGCACTTTGTTAGATTGCGAACCGCATTAGTGATGAGCGTCTGAGAAATTGCCGTCCTGTCCAGTTATTGCTAATTCCAAAGTAAAGGTGGTTGGCTTTTCTCTCGACTTGCATCGCGAATTGTTCACCATATTTCTGAATGTGTTTTCTGTACATTCTTTAGCGTCGTCGAGTCCGTATATACTCTTCACTCCGTCTGAGTGATGACTGTTGTGTTATTTTGTAAGTTGTGCGTATTACTTAACTTCCATCTACTGCAATGCTCAAGAAATTCATGGGCAATACAGTTTATGTTTCTTAATTGCTTATGCTTAACTTGTAAGAGTTCGTCTTTTCACATATGCCAGTAGCATATGGCGGCAAGGATATCGGCACGTAACAAATATTCTACAATCGCACTCACAAGTACTTATATCCACTTCATAATGCTTTCCGCAGTCAACCATGAACAACCAGTCGCCATTTTCATATTCTGACGACAATCTCCTGGTCCATGGGTCACAAACCATTCGTGAACTACTACAAGGATGATTGTGAGTCATGTTGTATGATTTTATGACATATTCTCGATCTTCCAATCTTATACGGAACCTGGATTGGTAGTTTACGAAATCAGACCTTAAATGTCACATTAAAATTCTCACGGTTTTTGATTCACTGACAGACCTTCGGGTTTACGTTTACGACCATACGTGCAATGAAACACCGCAAACAAGTATTTAGATCTCATATCCTTCAGCAGTTTACTTTCTGCGTGAATGTAATGATTATGGGTAGTCTGAGAAGGAACTACCCAGGTTCAAATACCTGTTTGTAACGTTTCACAGCACATTCGGTCATAGGCGTAAATCAGTTCTGACAATGGATCAAAAACCGTGAGAATTTTAATATGTGACATTTAAGGTCTGATTTCGTAAACTACCAATCCAGGTTCCGTATAAGATTGGAAGATCGAGAATATGTCATAAAATCATACAACATGACTCACAATCATCCTTGTAGTAGTTCCTGGATTGTATTAGTTGCAATAGATTCACACAACCTGTCAACTCCCGAGCAGCATGGGTTTCGTAACAAGCATTCACGCTTAGCTAACTTATTGCGAGAGAGGATTGGACAGCAGCCCCAGATAACGGTCTGTCTATCGATATGATATTCGTAGATTATAACGGAAAGAGAACGGCGAAAATCCCTCTACAGCTCCTTTGCTGAACAGTATTGTCACTTATTTGTTGCTTCTCCCTGTTGTGTATTTTAACCTTTGTTCAGATCTCGTTTAACCACATTTTTTGTTCTTCAGTCTTCCTTGTTTGAGCCTTTATTGTGTGATTTTGATTAAAGACTTATCTTTTGTTACCCCAAGGTCATGGCGTGGTTCAGTTTGTGACTGTTAACGTTTTGATTGTCTGCTTGGGAGGATTGCTGGAATCCCTGCGGATAGATATTCGATCCCATCTTGTTGGGAATATTTTTATTGATTCTCAGGTATCGAACCCTTTGGTACTAACTGTTTCCTTCATTGTTTAGTGCGTTACTTTGCGTTAGAGAAACTTCTGACTGTATAGCACAGGCTGTACCGTTTGAGGAAAGTGTACTTTTGATATAATTTGTTCTGTTTTCTAAATTAGAACCGTTTATATTAAACACAGAGTTTGTGTTTTGATATAATATAATACGAGTATCTCAAAAACGCGTTGTGGGCTATACAGAGGAACGTGGTCCGGTCTAATCGAATAAATTTTGGGTTCGTCAGTCCGTTGTTCCAACCGACTATTGGTTGTTTGGTTGGTACGTAGATTTCAGCAAGGCATCTGACAAGGTTTCACACTTAGGTCTTCTGCAGAAGCTCTCGGGGATCGGAATAATAGGTGCCGTACAGGAATGGATAGGAAACTTCTTGTGTGATCCGAGACAGAAAGTGAGGGTCAATGAAACGCTGTCCGAATGGAAGCCGGTTAAGAGTGGTGTACCACAAGGCACCATTTTAGGCTCTCTACTTTTCCTTCTCTACGTTAATGAATTACCGCTTTCGCTTAAGTCGTCAACATTATTGTTTGCGGATGATGTGAAAATCTAGAGAACAATAAGAAGTGAGGCTGATCATTTGGATACCCAAGCTGACTTAGATAAATTAGTAGAGTGGGTTCGAGGTTGAGGCTTAGAAATCAATTCTAGGGAGAGTGTGCTAATGCACATCGGACACGGTAATAGTTACAATTATACTATTGATGGTACATCTCTTCCACGCGTTCAGGAACATAGAGACTTAGGAGTAATAATAAGTTATGACTTGAAAACAACTACGCATTGCAACGCAGCTGCTGTCAAAGTTTTTCATGCGTTATGGTCACTTCGCCGAGCAATGTTCCGAATGTTATACCCCACTTGTGTAAGACCACACTTATAGCAATGTATCCAAGCAGCTAGTCCGTGCCTGATAAAGGATACTAACTCGCTTGGGCGTGTTCAGCGTGTGAGAACAAAATTATTGAAGGGTCTTTCTAACCTCTCTTACGATGAGCGCTTAAAACACCCAAAACTTTTCCCCTTATCGTGTCGTAGGACACGGGGTGACCTTACACTGACATTTCGAATCTTTCATTATGATTTGGATGTTAATATGTCCTATATTTTTGCTCTCTCCAGCAAGAAGGTTCACGAACCACGACCCAATAAACTTAAAGTGAGGTCCCGTTTTTCCCATCGCGTAGTCAACGACGGTATCGCATTACCCGAACAAGTAGTATTAGCCCCATAAGCAAATATTTTCAAGAATAAGCTGCATCTTCACTGGAAGGCAATCTGTCAGGATTAACACAGGTTCAACAAACTACTAACCCTATTATTGAGGACTGAACGAAATGTAATTGGTTTCAGAACTCATTTTCGCTTAAAAATTTGATTTCAGTCTATTTTTGACTTGGTAAATGGTGAATTTCACTAGCCTGACTTTGCAATGTTACAAATGACCACATTAGGCTTACTAAACATTCACACAGACTGTCAGCAACAGCTATGTCAAAATACTAATAAAGTGAAATAAATGCCATGTGACAAGCACAAACATTTCGAAACTCAAAGTGAGACGGAAAAATCTGTTAATACCTGATAAATAATGATATTTCCAAATCCTCGAAAATGTGTTACATGTGCGTGAAAACCTACGGCTTAACGCCTTGACTGTCCCTGCGTATTTCAAACCGCTCATGGATAGAATTCAATTACCCCGAGATGCGCTAAATATCTAGATAACGAAGTTGGGGCAGAGTGATTTACATTCCCAACTTTAGTCAATTTGCGATGCTGTGAGGCCGACATCTGTTAGAATCATAAACATTTATCTCATACTTGATGAAGATTCTAGAAACTATTGTAATCCAAATTATTTTCTCGTACTTGTGAACAGTCGAGCTTGTGTTGCTCCAGATAATAGAGTTCTCTAAGGATGGTAACTACACAAGAATAAAGCAAGACTGACAAATTTATCTCAAAAATAACACACTTGAATCCAAGGTTGCTCCAATTGATGAGTCATAAACACTATATATTCCTCTGGTGTTCAATTCAAGGAGTTAACGCAATTACCTTTGCATCTCTGGGTCATCATAGGCCATGATAAAGTATTTAGATATTATAGATTAAATTAAATTTCTGCCTGTCAGAAAGTGTGGAATTCATATACTTCTATTTTGAGAATAAACTGATGCCTTGTTCTTTTAGGCGATATTTGCATATAGTTTTCAGACCTTATTGCCCTCATATTAATTTATGACAAAGCTGAAGGCGATCATAAAAGAACTGGCCTTGGAAATTTCTGGTTGATTGATCAAAAATATGTTACTTTGATCACGGATTGGACTGCGTTTGTAAAGATCACTCTGAAGGCACGCAAAGGACCGATGCCAATGAGCGAGATAACTTTCAGTGCTCCTTTACAGTCAGTCCATCGATTACTAATCAATATTTAATTTATCTAGACTTTTCTAAAATTAGAACACAAATTAAAAATGCTTATTGGCTTAGGCTATTTAGTTGATATCGATTACAAACTAGAAAGAATTGGCAGTTGGATTGACCTACTGAGAAAGTTCATGATCCATACTGAATACAGATTTTGAACATTGAAATTTAAATCCCACATTTTAGGATTGTTACTTGTTTTCGTGTTTTGATCTTGTATGATTCAAAGCTGGGTGAAATACTATCGATTATGTTATGAATTTGCTAATACACTGAGACGTGAGCCGAAAAATATAGAATTGTTTTTAATATTTCATTGTAGAAGTATTCCATAGATTATATACGTATATATCCGTGGAACTGTGTTGAATGGAAGCAATTGTTCCCATCACTTAAGTGACTTTTTTACACCAGAACAGATATATTACATACTTAGCTCTAATTTTTGGCTAGACCAGTTAAAATGATTTGAACGGAATCGGTTTTGCACTAAATGGACGTTTGGAATTGAGCAACTTGGAAGAGCAAAGTCAAGAGAGATTATTTTTTATTGTGTCTTCTTCATAAATGTCAGTTGATGTATTGACGTACTCAGTTTGGCTAAAATATCTTTATTGCATTTATCAATTTCCCCTCACTCCTATGAGTCTTGGTCATGGTTCGTATCAATAGGATACACGGATATAAACATCCGCCAGAAGTATGTAAACAATGCCCAATTTACACTTCACTTAGTCAGGATACACGTAGGCATATTGACTTTTAAGCGGTTATTGACACTGTTTATAATGTACATATGTCCATATCTTGAAACCAACAATAGCATTACATTTTTTCCGTGAAAATGGTTCTCCAAGTGTGTGGAGATATGTACGACTAATTGGTTTTTTACTATTCACATAAATTGCTCCACCTTTTTGTTAATCAATTTCCTTGATTTCCACCCGTTTTTCCCGTTTTTAAGCAATAGGTCTATACTTTTGTATCTCGGAGATATTCATTCTTGTATAGTCTATTTCCTTAAATCATTCGTTGTTGAGTGTTGATTTCAAGTCAGTTTATAATCCAACAGATTTCTGTGAGAAATCAATTAGTCCTCATTTTTCAGTAATAAAGATAGAAGGTCTATCGACGTATATTAATCCTTGCAGTTTTCAACACTGTGAAGTTTCAATCAACTGAAGGTGCTGATATCACGTGTTCCGTCAAAGAATTTCAGTAATTCGCTACTCGATGCGAGAAAAAAACTCCAAACGTAAATGATTTGATCTCAGTTTCTGAACTTTCTTTGAATGTTTTTTCAAATGATTAGTCCTAGACTGAAAGAAAAGATAAGACATAATAATATCAAGGTCATCGTTCAGTATACAATAAGCCAATATTAGATCACCTGGTATTCTATGGTAAGATAACGGAAATAAGTTGAGGTGTCTTAGCCTGTCTTCATAAGATAGGCCAGATAGACCTTTTACCACGTCAGTCCCTCGTTTTTGGTCTCACTCCAGTATATCCACCTCCTACTTGAAACAAGGACTCGCTGCTTGAATCCCATATTCCAAATGTGGTCACACGGAAGTCGGGTATAATAATCTAAACGTTTCATCAACCAAATAGTGGAAAGACCTACAAATAGACCATAACACCCCATAGCCTTTTGCAGCAGCAACCTTACAGTGAATCGTAGCTTTGAGATCACTGCATAGTATGACTCCTAAATCTTTATAGTCTTACTTTGGGTAACACGATTCCAGATATTGTGTAGTGATACTAATCATAATAGTTATTTAATTGCATCACCACACTGTTGTTAGTATTCACTTCTAATGACCACCTGTTCATCCATGCCACCAATGAGCTGAGATCATCCTGTAATACTAATATATCTGACATACTGTGTATGGATCTTTAAATCTTTATGTCTTCGATGAAGAGTAGAACGGATGATTTTGATACAGTTGGTAATTTATTTACATAACGTAAAAAGAGAAGAGGCTGGAGGATTGTGCGTTGGGAAACTCCGCTTTTTATAGGTCCTCACGATGAGAAAGCACCATTTACCCTTACCCTTTGCCTCTTGTTATGGAGAAAGTTACTTATCCAGTCTATGACTGTATAATGGATTCCGAAGCGTTCCAGTTTTAATTTAAGGCCAGAATGGGAGACCATATCGAGGCTTTACTTAGATCTATGAAAATCACATTAGATGGTGGTTGGAGGTAGTTAACAAGAAACCCTGGACCCGGGTTTCGCGCTACTTGGCACTCGTCTCTGACTGTGAAGCTGGGTGACACGGGATCGAATCCGTTAGGGAGCACCAGTTCCCTCAAGATTACATGTACACCTTGCTGACGAGCGCCAAGTAGCATGAAACCCGGGTCCAGGGTTTCCTGTTGATCACCTCCAACCACCAGCCCACCTCAACATAGTGCACGCAATGTCGAGTCACCTAAACTGGTGGTGACTTGACATACATGACATTGATCACCACCAAGTGATCAATCAATTGTGAAAATCACATTACACGAATGTTTTGGTCTTTTGCTATGGTCCAATCCTCTCCGGAAATAAGAAGGCTTGCCAAACATGATAGGCCTCTCCGAAAACCATGTTGTTCTCTGGGTAAAAGATTATGCCCTTCCATATAGTTTATAACAGCTATACAAATATTTTTTCCATTAGTTTTACAGCTGCACTAGTTAAGCTGAAGTGTCGATAGTTACCAACTAGATCTCTACTCACAGCCTAATACACCGGACTAATTATCGCGTCTTTACAGTCTCTGGGCAGTTTGGACTACCGCAGAGATGTATCAAACAGTATCGCTAAAGGTCCAGCAATTACATTTGATAGGGATTTTATAATCATAAGATCAATATCATCAGGACCACTGAACTTATCAGGTTTGAGATGCTGAGGTAGTCTTAATACAGTATACGTCTCAATAACCGCAGGGTCTATCAACGAGCCTCCATAACCACAGTAAATCGTTGTTCGTTCCTCATTACTAATAGAAAACACTTTACCGTCATATTTCAATATAGCTTCAACTTTTTCGGTATCATTTCTTGCCAATATTAACGGATTTTCTTGTATCAAAAGTGACGGAATTCCATCGCTTCTCTGAGTTCCGATCAGGACTATATTTACAATCCCTAACCAATTGTTTTTTATATGACCGTCTAGTCTTACTTATTAACGCCTTACAAGCATTTCTAATCTTACAATAACTTACAATATCTTTAACAAATTTCCAATTTGGAGTTAGGATATGTATCGTAGAACGAAACAAATACACTGTTAACAAAATGTTTGACAAAGTTCAAGACGTTACTCATAGCTTATTCACAACTTAAGTAAAGCATTTTCAAAGAAATGATTAAATGAAATAAAGCTCAAAATATCGGGACCAATAAGCTGCGTAACCATGTTTAGAAATCAAGTATGTTTACGCACTGGCTGTAACCCAATTTAAGGTGTGGCTACACTTTCGTTTGTGTTAGTTGAGAGTATGTATTTTATTTTAATCAAAACTAGTCATCATATAAGGCCTTAGATTTAAGTAGCTGTTGAATTACTTGTAAAATTGATCAAAAAAGGTATTTTTGGTCAATTTAAGGTAACATTAACAGTTAACCCAAATGCCTTTCCTTCTTTACTAGTGTTAGCATACTAAGATAGTCTAGCTTCAGTGATCACTTTCTACAAACGATATACATGTTTAATAGTAAACTAGCGATTGTTCTTTTTGTTATAACAGAACCATGAACTGAGGGTTCTGAATGTTAAACTCTCATCGCTGAATACCATCGAAGATTGAAAAAGTCTTTTTTGTCTTTTTGACAGATATGATGTGTTCTGAACATTACTCTAAAATATTTGAAAAGTACAAATGGAAAAAGCAACAACATCCACTAAATTCTACCCATTCATGTCCAGTTACCAGTAATGATGTCCCTGGAAATCGCATCAAACAGAATCCCCAGGCTGCTTTAAATTCATCCAGTATCAGGTCATCTAACTTGACAAGTGCAAGTAAATTAAAATCTCATGTTTTGCTTAGTAAGTAATAGTGTATACGAATTGTTTGTCAGCCAAAAATGAGTTAGATATTTATGCCTCTCATCTTAAATAGACTAGTATTACGGGATAATGATTCGCGTTTCTTTCATATAAGTGTTAACGTTGTATGAAATGAGTAACTTCATTAATTTTCTGCAGTTGCGAGTTTTACTGAGCTCTCGACTTGGACTAAAATGAATAAATTTTATATACTAAGAGGTAGTTTTTGAGTGTCAGAGCAATTATTATAAATCTCACTTTTCTCAAAATATCAACATGATATACTACAGTTCTCTTGAATCTGGTGCTAGCCAGTAGCCCAATGTTTAACTTTTATACCTTTAATTAGTGATACACTCCTGTGATTTTGAAACTGATATAAAAATTTATTCGTCAACGTTCAGAAAAATGGATATTAAATTGCACTAATTATGGTCAAATTGTTCAAACTAACCTTATAAACTTTTTGGTTCGTATATTGACATTTTATTGATACTTCTACCGATTATCTTTACCCTATATTTTAAATGCTTTTTCCAAATTTGAAAAAATCGGTTTGCAACAACTAGTCTCTGAGTTTATGAAAAACAGAGAAAAGTGAATTATGTATGTAAAACTTTCAGTGACTGAAGTTAAATAACTTCAGTCTTCCTTTTGGTACTCCGATCTATTGAACAGTGGTTTAGTATATAATTGTTTTGTGAATCTAGTTGTAATTTATAATCTAGATATTTGATTATTTCCCCAAAATATCCCGGACCAGAATACTGAGTTCAACTTGGAGTTATTTTAATTTCAGTTACACAGAGTTTTTATAAATATTACTTCTATTCTAATGCAGCTCTCATTCTGGCTGCAAATAGAACGACGCCAGTTATCAGGTAAATTTCTTCTTAAACAAATAGATATGCTCTTTTGTAATTTTTTACGGGCTACCGATATTTTACAGTGAACAGAAATTGTGCAAAACAATCGAGGTATTGGGTTTTATTTGGCTTCTCATTAACTGGAAACTTATTTGACAGTAAACAGACCCACTTGCAAACACAAATAAGTAGTGGATTATAGAAGGTCTAAAAGTTTGTCTTGTCTTTCCAGAAGGTATCAACATACGACGCCATAGATTTTCTGGTAGTAGGTTTTCTATTAGTTAGAAAACGTTTGTGATGATGTGTCATAATTCGTGTTAAATGAATAACCTTAATTGGTATTGTTACCTGAAGCTACTTTTCGCGAAAACTGACAGTGTATCTTTACTTAGAATAACTTTGTCGTAAACTTTAGATACTTTTTTAAGACTTTAGAGGGCCGTCATTTCAATAGTTTGAGAGGCAGATCATTCAAAAGAGAGTACTTTTTCAGCAACTAGTTTGACATTGGATACCAAATATTTGTTTAACAATATATACAATTTTAAGCAAGCATTAAACGTAAAGTGACACTTCTGTCTGGGATTAAGAATACCTCGAAATGAGTAATATGTTTCCCGGTAAAATTATCAAAGACCTTAAGAACATGAAACATTAGATAAATTTTTCTCAGTCTTTTACTGCATCCAGCAAACATCTTAATTCTGTACTGATTTCGGGAAGCATTTGATCCCAATTCCTCTGAAACTGATGTAACTAATTAAACATTATTTTGTTCATTATTTATCATCTTAATTTCATAGTTATCAAGTTAACATACCACCAATGTATCTACCATTAGACTTTCTGATTCAGTCTATGAACTGATGTCATCCCCTGGTTGCTTAACAGACTTCTGTTTTCTTCTCAGAGTTATTATTCATGGTGCGTTGGAGATAATTATCGGGCGATAAAAATTACAAGCTTTGAATATATTTTTCAATGAGATATCATAATGGATTACCCATGCATCATTCTATGTAAATGTGAAAACTTAAATCAACTATCTTGTATCAAACATTTTTGATTGCTTTTTATATTGTTCGAAAGACAATGGACTCGAGCTTATGGTTACAGTACGACATACCCGATCAATCTATCTGAGTTTGAATGGTTTTAAATAAATAAAGCAACCAAATCTCGGCTCTTAATCTAATATCATAGTACCAGTGTGGTAGGAGGATGAGCTTAAAATAACTGACTAATTTTCAGCCGGCTCTCAGCCAATCAGGAAACGCCTTTGCAAATGATTGGTTTATAGAAAATAATACTGCAAAAAATGAACAGATTTTAAACAGTTAATGAGTGTTTATTAATTTTTTCTACAGATCTCTCCTCCTAAAAATTGAAAAATAACGACATATAAACTCATGCTAGTGGAGATAGTTTGCATATGTTATTTAACACTTAAAAGAACCCGAACAGATTTACAAGTATCTCCAAATTATTCCTAGTTAGGATTAGGTATTTGTGGTTAGGATTAAGAGTTTTAGCGTTAATATTTTCACATTTTAATTACTCATTTGTCAGTTGAGACATGTTCAATTACGATGTTCTATTGTTGTTTTCTGCATTTATTTAATCTGCTATTCTATGTTGATCATTGAATTAAAGTTATATTTTTAACGAGTTTGTATTTACTTGATAAAAGAAAATACACAGGTTTAAATTTTAGTAATGTGCTCGTTATTTATTTCAAATTTCCTGTATTTACAGATTATACGGATTTGGGGATAGTCCAGGACATAGATTGAACTTAATTTGATTCGTATCAGAATGGGTTTTGTGGAGATTGCAGTAATTTTAATAGTTGAGATCATGAGTCCATTGGAGCAAGCCCACCATTTGTAGATGTTTTCACTAATTTGTGTAATAATCGTTAACGTACTGAATAACTAGTCGAGGAAATTTCAATGGCTTATTTATAAACATATCTTACTAAAATATTAATGTATTTTATATGTTTTCTGTGTGCTAATTATAATCTTGAGGACAAGACATAAATACTTAAGCAGCTTTAACTCTGATCATGTGTAAATAATATGATTATAAATGATTGCATAAACCTAGAAAAGACTTTTTCATAGGTTATTTCTAGTTATGAAACAGTATTTTTGCATTTCAATTATTTTTCATGAATGAACAAATGTAGTTTCGATAGTGTAATAAGAAGACAAAGATTATCAAAACTATGCATTATATTGGCGCAATACATTTCAAACAATTCGATCACACATATACTTAGTAATATTAGCTTATTATCCAAAGTGATGAGGTTTCAAATTGTTTTCACATTATTATTTTCTTTATTATGCTTGTCTCCTCTTACCTTTCATTTCTAGTCTAGTTGACCTTTTATTTTTATGTATAAATGTTATTAACAAGTACATGTGCGATCAGATTGTTCCAAATGTCTTACGCTAATATATCATAACATAGTTCTGATAATCTTTATCTTCTTATTACACTATCAATATTTATCAAACAGACTAATTGCTTTACAAATGTAGTTATTGTAATCCTCTTCATAAAAGTCAAAACAGTTGAGAAAGAACAACTTTGAGATTTCGCTCACTTGTACGACAACTTTTAAAAATTATAAACGTTTTACTTATTATGACAGTTAGTTAATATCTGATTGACTACAAATAATTTACTTTATTTCAATTAAATTAAAATGGTTATAAGTGAAGTATTTTAGATGTTTAACATGCAATACCTTTTACACAATATATTTGAGTAACATCTTGTTTTATATTTGATTCTAGAGTTTCCTACAACCTCAGTGAGATTGTATTTGCTCCAGTTAAATTTGATAAATATTCTTTGAAATTTTTTCCTATGAAGGTATAGTTGAAGGAAGAGGTCAATCAACTGGAGAAATAGGTTTAGCTACTATCGATATTTACTCAGCAAATGTTGAATTATCACAATTTCGTGATACTAGCAGTTATAGTCGAACACTTGTAAAACTACTTTTATATTGTCCTACAGAAGTGAGTTTGTACGGTGTTTTTTTCAATTCGATAATCTTTTTGAAAATCTTAACACTTTCAATTAATAAATGGCTAAAGTTAATAAAAGGGCATCCAGTTTGTGTTACATAAAAATATCCTCAAATAACCATATGATTAATACTTACTAAATACATACAATGTAATCCACTAAAAAATAAACATTCAGGTTCAAATATTTTTACTTTCCTCGCCTTGTCCGATTAGACTTAAATTCAGTTGAACAGGGTTAATAAAAGAATCATGGTATCTTCATCGCACTACAGCTTATAAATATAGTGTATATAAAATGTTAAGATCCATGGGAATCTATGGATTATTTAAAGTGATTAGAGTCAGAATGGGAGTTTGTAGAGATTGTAGTAATTTAACTGTGGAATTCATGAGCCGATTGAAGCTAGAATCAAAGTAAAACTATAGTTAGTCCATTATGTATGTTAAAAATGCAACCATCTTCACAACTTCGTCAGGCTAACACTAATCATTTGCTCACTAGTGACCAATGTTGAAGGGTAATTACTGAAGTTTTAATGAAAAACCGTGACCATTGGAGTTCAACCATATCCGATATGATAATAATATCACCATTGGCAACGAAGCATGATCACACAATACTGTGAACTGGCTGAAGTTAAAAGTGCAAGCCACTGGCTGTTAACTCACTTGCCTGAAGTTTAAATGTTAACCTCGAGACTTAAGAGACATGGTTCCAGCCCTTGGCGGGGTCATAAATTATTACTACTCAGGAGGCCCATACTAGGACAAAACAGTTGTTAAATACCCTTTGGCTTACAACGGTTATTCTACTTCAGCAATTCTGTAAAGTAAACTGTAAACGCAAAATAATCGGTACAAAATGTCAGTTCATAGCTGCATAGGGAATGAATTTTTCAGTCGCACTGATGAATGAAATATTTAGTAATTGTGATTTGGCTCCATTTTTTGATCAAATACCGATGAAGATAGATTATAAGAATTATTTTCGATGTAGACTCACAAGAACAAAATGAAGGTGAATTATTATAACTGTTGGTAAGGTCAGATCTTAAAATGAATTTGAATGGGATCAGACTTTTATATGTTTATTTTCGAATAGCATTTATTTATGGTTCAGGAAATTAAGAGCACAATTTTCACGACATCATGAATGAATTGACCATTTTTCAACATAAATATTGCTGGAAAATGGAATTTGATCTTCACTAGATGTTAAATGTGGTTCAGGTATTTAATTTTACAGAAAATTATCCGCATAATTTCTGTTTTGTTCCTTCTTTCTCCACTCGATTGACTTGTATATGAAAGAAAAATGTACAATTCTTATAAAGATACTTACTGTTTACAAAGCTTAACAGAATGAATTGGGACATCTCTATCTGAAATTATGACTAGAAGGTATCAGTATCTAATGTGTCATATAATTAACATATGTTATGATCAAAGATTTTCATGTAATATCCCTTAGCGTACAATTTTCTTCATTTATTATAATCAATATGTTACATGATCAACAAATATAACATTACTTTGTTCAGATAATTCTTCCTAAATCTGGTTTGGATCCAAATAGTTGTATGAGGAAACTTGTGAAAATCCTACTGTCTTTACGCAATGGTATGACATTAAATGGTGTTAACAGAAATCACTTCAATGATAAACAAGGTAATTGAGAAGACTATCAATCAACAAATTTATTTACTATAAGTTGACATAATATCACAATTTTTGAATTATTCTCAAAAGGATTGTCAATCTATTTTACAGTTTATCACATTTTAGTCATTTGACAGGGAACTGTGTTACTAGATAACTTTTGAGATATGTAGGGAAGTGATTCCTTGAATGATAATAAAACTAGTGATATGCCGGTCGCTCGATTTTGGGGAAATTTCGGGGAAATGCGAAAAAGCCCTGAAATTTCCCCTGGTCTGGGGTTCTTCCTCAAAATTCCAAGTTATTTTAGAGAAATCCCCAGAACTTTTGGGGATAACAGAATTTTCTAAATCTTTGAAAATATCCATTTAGTTTTTTGACAAAATCCCAAAACTTTAGCGCATCTTTGGGGAAATCCACCTAATATTTTTCGAAAATTTGGAAAAGTCTATTTACCTTGTTCAGAGAAACTTCAAGATTTTCCTTTTTTCTGGAAAGCATACGGACTTAGTGGAAATTAGCTAGAATTCCCTATGCATATATCCATATTTCTCTTTCTTCAGTCAGTTTCGCAAATTTAACGCAATCTTAAAACATTTACGCCATAGTTGTCAACATTAACATGTCTGTTGTCGCACACACACCTAGGTTGTGTAAACATTTTCCGTGGAAGTAAGTGAACACTTACTAGATGATAATATAGTGTCAGAACGCAATCATAGTATATTTACCATATCGACGTAGTCCTATCTTACTAGCCTTTGTGTTAACGAACTCAACCGATAAGCATTACCGTAGTTAGAAGACTGATGCGTTATATTAAAATTAAAAAAGCACATATAAATTTTCCGCTAAGAATCTACGTCTTCATATTATTTGCGATTGTAATTGGCCTTTTGTTGTGTTTATCACATGGAAGTTTGACTTTCGTTAACAGTGTTTTACAAAAAGAAAAGAAACGTTACTCTTCTGTGTAATTAACGTGATACCAAAACAGCTAAAGTGTTAATAGCAGACAAATGAATGCTTAATGTAATAGCAATCATTTGACTTGTGAATCTATAATGCAATATGAAATGTGTATTATGTACGAAGTGATAGTACAAAAATGTTTGCTGAAGTAGAAACTTACACTTAGATCAATGAGCACAAAGCTAGCTGAAAATAAGATAGACAGGAAATAATAATTCCAAGATCAACGTATAACAGTAACTAATGTAAAAGCAGAAAGACATTCAATAACGGATCTAAAATGCATTTGGCTCACCCTTTCTTTGGATCACTATCCATGCTTGTTTCTTTTATCTCTTGAGTCGTGCAAGAAGGCCTGGCTCGCAATATCCTCGGAGACTGGGATATTTTGAAGTAAGAAATATTATGTTGCTGAATAATATTAACAGTTTTAGACAAAACTGACATACTAACAATTCACTTACATCGTAAAGTTAACTTATTACCTTTGTATAATAACTTCATACGGGAATCAAGTACATGTATCAACTTTACATAATACTAAATAATTATTTGAAAAGAAAGTGTATCATTCTCTTTTAGTTATATAAGTAATTATTGAGATGACTCTGAAAAAATTATTTATATGCATTTTTGATTAAGTTGGCTATCTGTCTGGTTGAATAGATAGTTGGTTACTTGAACATAATACCAGTGCAACTAATAATAATAATAATAGTATTGTAATCCACAAAAATAGTCAGAGGGTATGTACCTTAACTTCGAATTACAAAGTATTTACATAATACATATACACAACATTTAATCGTCCTTTAGCACCTTCTAGCGTGTTCTGGAATCTGAACTGTCTTCTTGACTGGTCCCAAAGTATTTTGCTAACACCGTGTTTTCTATTCACTGAGACTCATCACTCTGTCTGTCAATTGTTGCGACTTCGACGCCACGTTCCGCCATACCTTGCTTACAAAACATTTTGTGAGTAGCGTTCAATACACTACCACATCGAATATTTTACTCATGTTTTCCTTGATTTATAATTCTTACATGAATAATATGACCTCTTATAGCTGTGTTACTTCTAGAAACTAATGTATAATGTATCATTTTCTCGTAAAAATAATGCTGGATAAAAATGATTGTACCAAGGGCTATATATTTTGTTAACTTTAAATGTTTGAGTCGTCAGGTGGCGTCCTGGCTGGCACACTATTCATTTGATAATACAAAAACTTAGCTTGTTATAAGAAATACATAGTCACAATTAAATTGCTGAATAGACTAATTCAATCAAAACTGTGTGATTTTCTTCAAATTATGGTTAGGATTATTGAATAAATTTGCCATCATTGTTATCGATAGGTTTACACTATTTAAGAAGATTATGCCATCCACATTACATTCCATCTATATACGCTATTAAAGAGAAGTAAGTAAGCGGTTTTTCAGATCTTATCGAGTTTTTTTCGTTTAATCTGGTTATATTTTGGTAATAATTTTTCATTATTTGTCGAATATAGTTCATTTGATTAGTAATGGTGACGTAACAGTTAATGAATACAAACAAACTCAGTTCATCCCGCTTAGATGGAAGCACAAAAGGTCATATTCAGTGAAATATGACCTAAACAAAATAACATGTTGAATATATTATCTTCGTACCTACATTCCCTCTAATGCTTTTGAAATGGTTCCTCTTTCAAAACCTTGAGGATGCTGATGATGATAACTGAAATCAAAGGGTTAAATTTACATCAAAGGTTAGAGAGGAGTATCTTATTAATCGTAATTGTTTTACAAAACTAATCAAGTTTATTTAGATGCATGAGTATACCTAAATTAGACTTCAGTGTAGGTAAACAAGTAGTTAATTTTCAGTGACTATTAGAAAAATATTAGTCTCATCGTTCTCTTACAATTAAACTTCTCTCTAATGGTTGTCTCGTATATGGTCAAGCTAGTTTTGTTAGCTTTTTGTCACAAACTTGATCAAAGTTTCCGAAATTTTGATTTTCAGTCTAACTCTAAGCGTAAAGAAGAGGTGAAATCTGGTTCACATTTCCGAGTATTGGCCATTGGGTAGTGGGACTTATCTCATAAACTGACATAAGCGGTCAGTGGAAATGAACCTAATCCATTACTCTATAGTAACATCGGATTAACACTGTTAATACTCGTATCGGATACACACATGGACGTATACCTATGTGTATGATATAGGATGCATAGGTCAATTCGATCTGTGGATTGTCGGTATACATGTAGTGTACACTTGAGGAAATACATTTCAATTTATAATATTTATGCTTACGTGCATGTTCGGAATACATATTTTATGACTTGTATACTACAAGTATTCATATAACATGCATTTCCATCAGTATAGCTGAGATGCTAACAATGAAAAGTATCAAACATAGAAAACAGGAATAGAGGGCATCTTACTCTCTTAATAAAGCCATTCATGTTTATAAGTATCCTATGGAGTCAATACGTTGATTTGATTTGTGAACTTTAGGCGAACGTCTAGTGGATACTTGTAAAAATGAAGATTTAGGAATCAATCCTACCCATCTAACATTAGCAACCCTAAAAACTTTTACCTTTGTGGTTCTTAACATAAAATTCCCCACATATAATTCACTACAAGTAGACAAACATTATCCAGAGAAATGAATCAGATATTCAATGAAGACTTCACCAATTTTTCTGCCTTATTTTCAGACTGAGTATTAAGATGATAGAGAAATGCTTGTGTTCTTCATGTAAATAAAGTGACTTATGAAGCGAAACAGTAATGTCAGCAATTAAAGCATTTATTTCAATTACTAAAAATGGTGCTTTACAAACTGAAAAATATTTTAAATAAACAATAAATCTATCAAATTAAATTATAAAAAGCATTCCACAAAGTAGAATTCACTGTGACACACTTTATAATTTCTAAGTTTTCAGGCGTCGCTTTTTTCTGATAATTTCTTTATTCATGTTATTTCAAAATAACACTCAGTTAAATAAAAGTAACTACAGTTTCACACCTTTTTGTCTAACCGTCTTTCTAGTTTCCAGAAAGTGAATTTGCTGTGACTTATGTGCTTCATACAAATATTAGAAGTATTTAGATAAACAGACAAAAGCTGTTCAGTTAACACAATACACACGCCTCATGTTGTAATAACTTAATATAAATAAATGGAGGTATTATTTTAAGTAATTTGTACAATTATGACGGTTGTATTCATGGAAATAGTCCCACTGTGTTCAACTTTTCAGTCAAGGAGCCGGGACTTATTTGGTATATTTCATTTTAAACGGTTTGGTAGTACTGATATTTAGGATAATGGAAGTTTTTGAACTACACATTAGTTCATAAATCTGCACATAACTAATGATTCGAATTTATTCAGTAGAAACTATTGTCTGATAAGTCTGTTGAATAAAGAGAGAATGTATCTTCACTTTGGATTGTGTGGTGTTGCTCTTTTTAAAACATTAAGATTCATCCATATGTACCATTAAATGCCATTTCAGTGGCCTAATGAATAAACGTTAATCCAAGTAGCAGACCTTCCTGGATTCGATCCCAAGTTGTTGGGTCATGGATACTTAGTGTTGAGGAGTTCCATCCTGTGATGAAATGGTCATCCAGTTTCACCCAGGTTTTCAATGGTTGTCTAACTTAAATCGGTTTGAGATTTCAATATATATATATATATAATTTTGCTTCCGAAGATTGTTGCTAAGTAACAGAAGTATAGAACATACTCATTGCCTATAATTTCTGTTTTTATTTAGATTTTATGCTCTTTCAGCACTGTCTGCTTTACTTAATTATGCTGAAGAAATTCATGGACTTATTTATGCTCCAAAATCAATGAAATTCTCATTTACAGGATCTGTTAAATCTACTATGATTGGTAAGTAGAACTATCCAATTCTTCAATTGATTTGATACAATAAAATAATTATCTAGCAATGCATTTATCGAGGTGATACAACCTACATCCACCTAATGTATAAAGAAATAAGATATATGGATTTTGTGAGCACGTTTTAATCATTTTAGTAAGCTTTCTTGTTCTCAGTTTCACGAAACTGAATACCAAAACATATGTATAAGATATCCATGAACATAGCCATATGTTAGTTATTGGCTTAGTACAGATTTGACAAACTGATAATTTTCATTTGAGGAATATCGACTAAAATTATTGTGTATGATATGGAGAGCCAATTAGAAGTAGCCTAATGATAAGGCCAATCGACGGTAATCAGTAATGGCCTAAAGGACAATTGCATTTCATTGGATAAGAAATGGTTGAATTTCCTAAGGATTATAGTGGTATACATATGAATGAGTATTCGTGCATTTCATTCAGTAGCCTAATAAACTTTCTCGCTCAAGTAGTCATTTGGTGCGCTAGCGCGTAGCACAACGTGTATCAATATCAGATTTGGGACACCGCCAGTCACAACAGTGTATACGATCCATTAATCTACTATGGTACTTAAAAGAAGACAATGAAAACAACGAGGCGAGAACCGAACCTATTGTGTTTTATAAACGTAGCTGTTTATGGGGTCGAAAAGATTTAGTATTTACTAGTTGTGAACACTTATTTATTGGGACAAAAATACTTAGTTTTTCATTGTCGAATACACAACAAAGTCACTGGGCTTCTTGCAAGTATAAGGTTCATCAGTAATATGGATCTATGACCCGACGAAAGATCGGATTAAAGACATTTAGGACTGTTGATGATCTCTTGAACATTTAGACCATTGAATTAGTATCCAGTGGTTTACATTTCTAGCTTCATTCAACCCGCAATATTGCTTAGCAACTTTCAAATACCGTCGGTGGGTATCCATCTCACTTTTCGCAGGGTTGAACTCCATTGCAGTTTTTTCACTAGAACTTTGGTAATTTTCTCTTGAACTTAGACACTAAATATTCTATGTTAACTATTAGTACAGCAGGCTCGTGAAGGTCGTTGAATTGCACAGTTTCCACCTTTTTTATTTTGTTATACTTTTCAGGATACTAAAGATAGGTTCATAAAGACAAAACATCCAAATATCGGAAAAGTGAATGGTGATTTAATCATGATCTTATTTTAGATTATCCGATATAGACTTTTAAATAACTATTTTACAGAATGGATGTTCTAATAACGACGTAAATATTCACTTTGAGATATAAAGTGTTAAACTGGCGCTTTGAATTACTATATATATATATATATATATATATATATATATATATATATATATATATATATATATATATAAACTTTGTTGTAGAAATCTAATGAGTCAATAAGCTTCTGAAAGATTGATCATTATTTCTTTTCTGTTGCTATTTTTATTTCTAATCAACTTACTGTTAGACTTCAAAAGTGCAAATCGTTTACGTTTGGTTAGAAATAATTACGACTATTCAGCCAAAGATACACTTTATTCAGCAATAGATTTCACCAGTACAGCTAGTGGTGCTCGATTATTACGAGCCAACTTGTTGGAACCCCCATGTGGTATGTCTCTAGTAAGATTAAAGTAACTATTAAAAGTGAATATCTATTTATGGATTCCAATAATATTCATACTAAATTTGACTGTAATACCGTTTAACTGAAGGAGTACTGATGAAAAATTTACCAGTTCCAGTCGTAGAGAACATCTTTATGGCCATTCTTGGAAATATTAAAATTAAACAAATTTAGACGAAGTCACATCCTCTGTGTTTGTTAACAACATATTCATCAATTATAATCATCTGCAAAATATAGTGTTTTTATTGGAACTTTTCAACAAAACTATGATAATTAGAAGTATTTGAATTATAGTAAAAACTAGGAATCCCAAATACAATGCAATTGGATCAAGAAATACTAGACAAGCACAAACGAATATACTGTATTTGGAGTTCGAAACCAAGCATTCAACAAGTACAAAGGAATCATTAGTTCATTCAAACACCACAAACACACACTTAAAATTATAGTTTTCTAAAAAAAAACTTGGAAATGATGAATAGTCAAATTTACCCTATTAAACCATGTAACGTAAATCGTTTATCTTTTGTGGAGCAAACTAAACGCTAAATTTAATAGCGTACACTGACAGCCAACAACAAGTACCCACTGTTTAAAACTCGATTTCACAATGTGCAAAATATATTTCCTATTGATAAGTTTGACTATTGCTATGTACTGATCAAAAATCAACTATCTGCATTGATCGATTTATAAACATAGAATGATGTAGAACGTTCGGGCATTAGTCAACGGGAAGCCAATTTTTATTCATCTCAGTTTTTCAAGACTGTGATATTGAATAAAGTCAACAAAAAACTGAGCTATCCACTGGTTCCACACTGTTATGTAATCAAATTAATCCCATATTACATACTAATAAATTGATTAATGGATTCAAACATCCTTAGGTATTCTATTTAGGCCACTGCCAACTTTTATATCATTTTACGAGTGTGTCAAATAAATTATGCTGTCAAAAGAGTGGGAATGATCTGTCTCAGATTTTTTAAACGGGTTCTTTAAGGTCAGTGTTTTTGAGAAATAAAACCGTTCCATAATGTGATTGGTAGACATCTGGTTGGTACAATGCTACAGGTACATGTCTATAAGTACTTTCAAATGAATTGCTGATAAACATGCTAAAGTTTTCTTAAACTTTCTGAGATCATAGCTATCAAACTGGTAAAATCTGACTTATGAATTTAAAAAATAATGCTTCACAGTTTGTCATTACTTTAGAAACACAACTTTTGCTCTTATTAGGTTAGATCATTCCTATGCAAGATTCTAGTTAAAACTTATGATTTTAATTAACTGAACTTAACATATTACACATTGTATACTTTATATCGTAGTTGCTATCAACCTATCTTTCCATTAACTTAAATATGTAACTAGTTATCTCAATTCCCAAACTCGTTTGTGGCCACCTTAGTCTATTGTCAAGAAATGGAACTTTAGCATGATATTAATTTAAGAATTATTTTACATCTTCATTTCATTTGGATTTCTACAATCTTTACTAAACTATGTTAGTAATTAGTTATGTTGACTAGCGATTTAATTATCATGAGAATAGATTTGGTATTTAAATGTTGTTTGTCGTAAGCGAATTCATGTTATTTACTCAACTCATTTCTCTTATTCTGTCGGAATTTATTAAGAAAATTATGTAACTCCACTGATTGTACAAATGTTTATTTAACTAAACGTTTTCTCTACAGACTTGGAAACAATTTTGAATCGACAAGCTTCTGTTCGTGAACTAATATCTTCACCAGAAACTTTATTTAACATACAGGTATGAAGTATATTCAGTTGAATTTTTGATTGTGTTACTATTCCGTTTAACTACAAAAAAAACAGAACATAAATCCGACATTTTTTTACACTGTTCAGAATATCTTACGTCAATTCCCTCATATTGATAGTCTTTTATCACTTTGTGTTCAAATATGTTCGTCATCAAATTTAATGTTTGACTGGCATAACACTATCAATAACAAAAGTCATACTAATATTAATAAACAGAATGCATCGAATCCAATTGAATTCAATAACAAAACAGATTCATCTAGATCAAATAAATCGAATGAACTTTTAATCAATTCAACTAAATTGTGTACACAAGATAGCATTACTCATTCACCTTTAATTAGTACAGTGAAAGAAAAATCAACAGGTTTGCTATTTGACAGGCCTACAAAATCTTCAACTTTACTACCTGGATCATCATCATCACTAATAGTACCCAGTTCCGAGAAGCATTGTCTACCTAAAAGTGATATGATCTATTTAAAGAAAGCAGTAAACATTCAAGCAGCTGAATCTCGAATTACAAAAGTTATTGCAATTAAATATATGTTAGATCTTGTCAAATTATTGTATAATGCTATGGGTGATGTCAAATCTACATTGTTGAGAACATATAAAGAGGTAATCTTAATTCGAAACTAGTTATTTAATATAAATAGAAGTCTAAAATATTATTCTTTCAAATAACTGCATTATGTTAGTTGGTAATAAGGATTGATATTTATATTTTTAATTGAAAACATATTAAAAGTTTTGTATGAAGAACGTGTTGCACCGTGTGTTTTCTGAGATTTGAGACTGATACACACACCTTTTATACACGAGCCTGATTACTCGAGGAGAAATACGGTGATAAAGAATGTCTATTTAGTTAAACTGAACCATATATATATCCCTTGAGAAATTAATCCTATCAGTTATTTAAGTCACATATGCTTATCATTTTTCGATTACTGATTGCTTTATGATATCAGAAATCTATTGATTGTTACGGTCATAGAAGTAAGGTAACACCATACAATTTAATATTACAGTGGTATCCGTCATAAAATTTGAGATTTTTCAATTCTTTACTTAATAACTACTAAATACAAGTAATTAAAGTGTAGAGTTCCTATGTTGTAAGTAAACCTACTTCTGTAGGTGAACTGTGAGGAAAAGAAAAGAAATATTAAATAACGTTTTAAATGAATTTAGCTTCTGAAACTCAGTAATAATCTTTTGAAAATAAATTTAATAAAATGAAAAAAATCGGTTGTACCCAATGAATATATTAGGTATAAGTTCATAGAATATTCAAATCTTTTTGCTGAAATACATCCTATTTACAAAGGAGTAATGTTTGTTTTATTTAACAAAAAGCATATTGAGAAAATAATTTCTCTTGTTCCTCCAAAATAACAGTATAGATTACAAGTATCAGAATAAAAAATATGTGAACTTTTGGTATTTTTAAGTTATCTGATATAGATGATTTAATTGAGGAACTTTCAATGTCATTCTGGATATATCCCCAGTGCTTACTTTATGTAGAAGTGACCTTCTCAGTTGTTCTACAAGTGTTAGATTAGTTTGTTCTAATGGCCTTGTTTTTGGTTAGTTGGTTTTGTATACTCTTTTTTCTTGATATCTTGCATACACGAGGATGTAGATCACTTGTATATGAAACAAGAAGTAACTATGCCATCTAGAACGATAATAAAAGCTCCATAATTAAACTACGTAATAACGAAAGCACCCATTGAGCTAAAAATTTACTTGTTGTTAATATTCAGGACCATAGTTGATCAGTATTTGTTTCCTTGTGTTTATTCTTGGTGGACTGTCTCGATATAGCTTCATATTACAAGTTTTTGGTATATTTGGTACTGGAAAAGCTAGCAATTATCTGAACTCAGTAGATCGGCGAATAACATGGTTTTCTCTGAAAGCCAAAGGCATTGGTTTTGATTTTCAATTTAAGCATCAACACTTGATTCCAGGCATAGTCATCTGAAGAGTCCTGACTAGGATAAAATGCACGTTTTGGATTCCACTGATAGCTAGATACTAATTATACTAATAACTTCGGTGTTAAAGTTTTGAACTACAGTGTCATTGTTAAATTTTTCTGTGTCACTTCTGAGGTTGCTCTGATATATGACTGGATGGATTTCACTGGTTTATATAGATATCTAAAACTGTTTCACCGAAAATCATTATCAGTTCGATATCATTCTGTTATATTTGTGTTATATATGTTAGTAATTTATTATATAGAACCCTAATATAAAGCTCTATGTCAAGCTCTTGAAATTTAAGCGTAATGTAATTTATATTTTTTGTAGCTTTTACATGATTCGGAATATGAACATGTTTTACAAATTTTGTGCACTGTACTACATAAAGATGTACGAATGTCAAAAGGGATGCTAGCTATGAGAACACAGAAATGTTTTGCTATCAAGGTATTTAACATAATTCTCTTGATATATCATAAATTTCAATTATAATTAATTTTATTTAATTTAGGAAGGATTAAGTGTGGTATTAGATGTTACACGTAAAGCCTACTCAGAACAGCTTGATGATATTACGAGTAAGTATTGTGTACTTTCTAAATTTGATTCACCGGCTTTAAATTATAATTTTATTGAACAATAGACCATAATTTCACATCGATGATCACTTTAAAACAGATTTGATACTTATAGTTGGCTACAAAGAAAACACTGATGTATACATCATTAATCAGGGAAATTCCTCTTCTTTGTGTGAAAATTGAACACTTAACACTTGTACTGGTTAATATATTTCCTTTCTATATGGATAATGCAAGTAAATTTATGGAAGACAGGTTTGAAAATTTTATTTAAACAAGCCTAACCTTAACATTTGTGACACATTATCATGATTTGTTCTCTCTGCAAGGTTAATCATGAAACTAGTTGATGGGTTTGTGTTAACAACTACTTTTATTACTAAGTAGTATAATGAAATATGAGAATTTAATGCGAAAAACTTCTTTTACCACAATCATTTAGTTGAAAGTAAAAATAAGATTTCAGTATCATAGAAAAGGATCATATGAATAGTTACTTGATTGTAAAATAAGTAATATTCTTTAAATGATATAAATTACTTACGAAAAGGAAACTATAAAGCAGTGAAGAGAAAAGTCATATCAAAGAAAACTATAGCATCTAAGTTTTTAAGAAAAATGAGACCGTTTTAAAAAGGAAAATGAACGTAATTATCATAAATAATTAGTAAATAAAGTTTATTTAGGTTATATAAGCGTTTAATTAAAGTGACAGAATAATCCTATTCATTTAGCAATAAATCGATCTTTGTACTAATCAACATTCAAAATCATTTCATCTTACTAATCTCTGATGAATCTTGAATAATATAAGAAAAACTAATCGATAGGAAAAACGAGAGATCGACATAGTCTTTCTGAATTTGACGAGTATACATAAAAAAAGAGAGGTGAATTCAGGAATACACAAATATTACTGCTACTTTGAATCAGACTTCAGTAAGTGTTTTCCTTACTAAATAATAAGACATTTTATTCTACTATAGAAGTCGATATGTACTTATAATCATAAGATTATATACTTGATTTCAATCCTAAATACTGAAATAAGTGTTCTGGATTAATCAATCAATAACAGGTAAGTAAATGAGAATCAGTTTTTGATCTAGTTTATCTAAGTGGTTACCTAGATAAACAACTAAATTCTTCATCAGTTTCATTCAAAGGTCAAATATACAACTGCATATTGATATATCATAATGTGACTTTTTTCGCTGTAAGAGAATTACAGACAATCTCAAATAAGAATAGTCGTAACAGAATTCAAGTTGGTAATGTTTAATTATAATGTAAGGAATATGTTAATCTCAAGGATGAACAATGATAAAAAACCCCAGGAATAATGGAAAGAGAAGTAATGAAATGTTAATTTCATTAAGGTCATTGTAAACAAATAGATTGTATAAACTGCTTTTGTATACATATATTTGGTTTTAGATCGCGTATATTCAGCAGTTATGCAATGTATAAGCTATGTATGCTTATGCCTTACGTTAGGGTAGGTTTGATCTTATAAAACGTATCAAATGATCAGTCCTATGATATACGGTTACTTTATACTGTATTAAAAAAAGTTAAAATTTATGATTTTACTGAGTCTTGCTGAGTGCAGAAATGTTTCTTGCCAAACGATCTGTGTTTTCAGCTTTACATTGGCAATTGAGGATGTATATACATGTTGACTTTGCCAGTCGTTAGTTTTTTTCTTCACACAGATGTGCACTAATTTAGAATACTTCGAATGAGTTTTCATCAACGATTCTTAAGAACTTACCCCAAAGTATCAGATTTAAATTTCGTACAATTATGCATTTACTACACTGGTACTCTATTGTCTGAACAACTAATTTGCTTAATATTTCTGTCGATGAAACGTAGAGTATAACCATTATTCATATTACTAACTATAAGCGACGGAGGTTACTGTTTTATACTGTCATACCAATAGAGTTTTAAGATTCATGAAGTAAATGAATAGATCTTGATTTTTTAACTGTTCATAGGGACAGAGTTACTAGCGTCAATTATCTGTCAGTTATATCTTTTGGAAATAGATCTCTTCACAAAAGCATTAGCTTTACATGTACCCAAAACTTTTCTAAACGAAATTTTAGATTCCACTTCTTTTTATAAAATGAATCGGGTCGGTAAATAACATTCATCATATTTTTCAAATTAAAAAATCATTATGATTATTTGATACCAACACATTCGTACAGTTTTTAGAATAGTCGAAAAAGCAGTTTTTTTGGCTGAAATTAGTAATTGTTTCAACTTAACTAAGATGTAATTAAGTATCACAGAAATGAAATAATTTTTATTGAGCTTTTGTAGTCATAATATGGTGTGTGCTACTGATAACGACAGATATATGTAGCATGTATCATCAATCAAAAGTGAGATGACTGATGGCAGAAAGTTAAGAAAATCGAAGAGAAGAGAACAATAACAGAGAACGATTGGTGTGGAAACGAAGGAACAGTCAAGTTTGAGACAATTGATTGATATCTCGCAAATGAGGAATTTACTGTATGGTTCTCAGATTTTACTACGAGATTATTAATATGACGGGAAGAAAAGTCAATTTTCGATTGATTTATTAATCAGTTTTGTTCAACATTACTTTCGTTCTGATTCAATGTGATGATCATTCAGTGTAGTATTTGTTTTGTTTTGTCGTATGATGTTTTATTCGGCGATACACTAATTTATGGACGACCCTTGAACGAATCTTAAGTGACCTTGAGAAATATTCGCCAATCAGCAAACAGTCAGTATAGAGTAAAAATATGTTATACAAAACCAAAGAAATAAAGTGGATACACTTCTTATACCGTGGTTCAAAAACTTGTCAAGGTTAAAAAGAGGTTCAGAGGTCCTAAAATCGTAATTCATGCAGTAGAGGAAACCATCCATGGGTCTACAGAATAGTCGGCCTCTGGAGCCATGATAAAGTCTCAAAAACTCTTTCAGCCTCGACCACATAGCTTCATTATTGTTTATGTGCACTCCGGCTGTTGAGTGCACAAAATGCTACTTATGGATAACGACACGATGCGCACAACCAAGTCTATGTAGGAGTCTGTACGCTCTCTAATCATCTGTATATATTGTAGAACCCGGCTGAATCCAGTGTTACTGGTGCTTTTATTATCCAGTTCGCAATAATTGTCGTAATTTTCCTTAGGAATTGTATGTGTGGTTTTCATCACGAACTGACATCAGCTATAATGCTAGAAATTTATTTAGCCAAATGGATGAAAGGCTTTCGCGTTAAAATACGAGATCTCTTATCTTGATTCGTCCACAAATTATAGTCCCGCCGTTTTATTTGTTATAGCCGTTCAATTATCACGTTTTGTACAAAATTCCCTGTGAACCGATCGTACGTTAGCATTAAGCACTGAAGTTGGCGCCATAACCCTGAAATCTCTAAAACGCCTCTGATTGGCTCTTCCATAAATTAGAGTCTTGCCTTTTATTCTATATAACATACGATATTCTTGTATTCGATTGACATGAACTATGCTTAGTATGTGATTTGTTATAACTCCGAGTATTTTTCATATATGTGATTCCATCTTAATTATTAGTCAAAATGGGTGTACAATCAGTATATAAATGAGTGTATTTTCGACTAGGGTCATCGCCGTGTTTTGGGGTTAATAATTCTTTACTTATACCAGTCCTTATGTTTTTACTTTCGTGTCGCGGGAATTGCAGAGGTCCCTCGTTTCGAGTATAAGTGATAAGCGATTCCGACACAACGATCAGAGACGACCAGATATAACAAGTAGCATTCAGTCGACAAGACATATCAATTATGTCGTTTTGTGATTAAGAACATTTGATTATTTCCACCTATGGTCTCGTTCAGTACAATAATGCAAGATTTCATCTTAAAAAGTCATTATAAACCTAAAACCATTGTCGTCCGTGCAACATCATCTCTGCCTGAATGCTTTGTGACTTATTGGCAATATCGAGGCTATCTGTACAGGGTAGGGTGCACATATACCGAAATAGATTGATCAATTTCGGTCCCGGACATCATTGGGAAGATCCGAATAACCAGTATGTATGAACCAAAATTCAAATTCACATCATTACTCAAGTCAGTGGCTGTCTGAATCCAGTAACTAAGTGGATAACGCGATGAAGTTTGTAACAACAGGTTTTAAGTTCCAGTTCCGGTGTGAACACCATTCTTGTGATGCAGATAAATCAAACTGTCTAGTCAGAGACAGGAGGAAACGTGCGTCTTGAATTCCACTGCCCGCTATCGTCGATCAGTGTTTAAAATTGCTACATTGGTTTGTAACATTTTTTATTATTATCGCTTTTACTTTTTTTTACATAAAAGATGAAGTTAGCAGACTTTCACATCAATATAATCTACCATTGCGAATATCTCACAATAAAGCTCGTGGATTTTACATTCAAATACCTGAAGAATCATTAAAAACTTACACAAAAACATTGTCATCGAAAATCAGTTATGGCACTTCGACATTGTCTAATGACACTAATTTTTTAAATGAAAACATCTTTATTGAAGCAGAAGAGGAAGCAGAAGAAGAAGAGGACGAACAACAAGGAAATATCCAAGCATGTAAAACATTGCATAGAACTAATCGAAATACTGTTCATAATAAATATCCTCATAGGACTCTGACAACATCCGAGCTTAGCAATAGTCCTGTACTTCAAAATCTTCCAGATGAGTTTAAAAAACCATTTATATCAAAAAATGTTGTACATTGTACAACAGATTCACTTGTAAGTGATAATATGATTATTGTTAGTGATTTATGTGCTACTGAAAAAACTTATTATTCACAGTTTGTTAATTTTTATTTTAGAGAATTTTTGTTAGTTTGTTATATAAAATTTCGTGCATGTTGTATGCCGTCACATGATATTATACGGAAGTGTACTTTGAATGACAACATTTATAAGCTGTAAGTGAGAAGTAATTATGGGTTATACATTTATCGAATTAATTCACACACAATCAAACAAAGAAACTGATGAATCTTGATAATTATACTAAAATGCGTAATACAATAACTCCGGCTGTAGCTCTTTTAGGGTTACTGCTGGTCCCAAGCCCGGATGAAGGAGGAACGTTTGGCATGGGGTCAGCAAACCCATCCCGTAGAAAACAACTTCACTAACAAAGCTAACCGGGAAAAACAATTTAAATATGCAATATAACGGACAGTTTGAATATTTTTCAATCAGTTTCAGACTAGCAGAGGAAGACTCCAGCATGGTTCGATCTCGTAAATACATTCAAAAACGTAGTTTATACATTTTTTTTACCAGAATAATTCATTTTCGAACACACTGTTAAAACTGGGAATGAATGATATATGGCTTAATTTTGGGTCATGATTTTGTCTTAGTTTTTCGTAAATCGTGAAAAATATATATATGCATATATTGGAGGCTAGTTTCTAGCGGAGAAAAATACTTCTCATTTACATTGAACATTAGTCGCCTGTTAAATGTAACATAACATATTTCAATACTGAGGTGGACAAATGTTTTCTTTTAAAAGGCTTAATAAATACAGACACTGTCAAACGGGTTACACATACGTAATACGAAAATGTATAAAACCAGGATATTGACGAGAGCTGGTTGTTAGTGAAATTAAAGTTTAATTACTTAACCCCTAGCGATAATGATATCATCATCTGGGATGAACGGAACTATGCAGTTTTTCACTAGTGTAGTATAATTAGGAATCACTCCGCTCATTATAATACGGAGTACTGACTTTAGGTTTGCATTTGTTGGTTTAGATCTGAATTTTAACTCACTGAGGTCGATATATGACTGAAGACTCAAACTTAGTATCTAGATTCACAAACGGATTCCAGAAAAACATTTACGGCCCTAAGTTGAAGAACAAACATATCTAAGCTTCTCCAGTTCTATAGACAATAAATGTAAACTTTCAGATTCCAATTTGGAGTGCTATATTTCTTTAAATAATTCCAAATTATTTTGTAAACTGCTTCTGAAATCATATTAATCCATGATTCCCCGATTCATGAAGAAGAATCATTTAACATGCTATAGTTTTCTCAATTCTTTTTCAACAAAATCTAAACTGTATTGTTCTACATGTGTTTAGTTAACATTATTAACATAAGTTTTACCTTGACTAAGTGAATATTTAGGCTTCATCAATTTTCTATGATTTTTCTTTTAGATTCGTTTAAATGGTAAGTTGATTCAAATTGCGGATATGGAAAGTAAACTTTCAAAAAACATAAGGTTATGATATTTTGTAATATTAAATTCTATCAAATTTCATATTATTTCGACAAAATGCTTTCCAATAGGAAAGACTTTCTCTTCGTTTAAAAATTAGTAAACAATCGTATAAATTAATTTTTTCTACTGGGATTTCAAAGTCCAAGTCACTCTCTACAAAATTGGATCAGGAGTAATGTATCGGACTGTAGAGCTAGTTATTCATACAAGGATTATCGTTTCTTCACGATCGGTGTTGCAACAATTTACAGGGTATCGACGAACACAAAACAGAGGTCCAAGGTTTCCTACCAACTATCTTTAACTACCTAACATTTAAATGTTGACAGGATTTAAATAAACCGTTTACTTGAAAATTATTTGAACAAGGAGGGTGACTAAAATATTAGAAAAAATGATCTATTCGGAGTACTATATATTATGGACGAGCTAATGAAATTAAAGATTTCAGAACTTGAATTTTGGCATGAAATTCATTCATCTAAATGAGTAAATAACATTACGGCATTACAACTATTTTCATTTCGTGATGAAAACTTCAACTCTAATCTTTAACCCTAACTTCTAACTTTATGCTCTAATCTTAATTCCTCACACTAATTTATAACACTCTTTAGGTGACTTTTCCCAAGGTCACTTTGCCATCACTTGAACGTCGTTTATAAATTACAGTCACACCAAATTATATAGATTTAACCAAACAATTAATTTAAGTTAATGTTTTTTCTATGTCTATATGAATGTTATTTAACAAAACCGAAAGCTTAATTTGTCAACTGTTATATATATATATATATATATATATATATATATATATATATATATATATATATATATATATATATATATATAAATTGATTAAGCTGGGATAGTTTGAAAAGTAACCATAGCAACAATAAAATGAATCTTGAATTTGAAAACACTATCTATTAATGTGTGTTTATGTTAGAGACTCCTTTATTACTAATAATGATAATTAGTGTGCTTCGAAAATCCTTTTCATCAATTCAGGGATGGCTATCTGAGAGACTAATTTTTAATGAAACCTGATAATAAAATTCAAATCAAACGCTTAATTTACAGTATTATACAAACATCAATAACTGCGGAAAAAGATACAGTAGATAAATAATACTGATTTCATTTTATTATTTATAAATATAGTTTGAATAAACTGCTTTTCAAAGAAGGTGAGAGTTCTAAGCTTAAAAAGTGAGTCGTTAGGAAGAACTTAACGAAAAACATACAATCTGAAAGGCATCAAAAAAATTATGAAAAACAGTATGCTAAGTTACGACTAATCTGAGTAAAAGACTTGTATCTATCCGCCATAGCCAACTGATAGAAGGATGAAGAGCACATCGAAATGAAGATTTACTGTAGTTATTCTGAAGTGTTTTTTAGCAATATTATACCACCTGTTCATTAAACTGATCTCAGGTAAGTATTTACCTAACGTCACCGCTAGTTGTGTTTACGGATGTACTCGTACTTATGTAAACAACTATATTGAAAGGTTTGAAGAAGAAATTGAGCTGGTTCACATGACGATCCCTTCAGCAAGTGTGATCTTAAGAATTTTACGATCAACAAACTTACGGTTCACATAGAACACAAAAAGATTATTTATTAAGATTGTGAAAAAATAGCGAACGTCGAATTTGTTGTCAATTGGAGCATTTAGAACTACTATAGTGTTTTTGATTTTATACAAACATACAGAAAATTTGCTTTCTTTAGTAAATATTATTGTTTTGTAAAATTTTACTTTTCTGATGAAGTAAGTTAATTTCTTATATTAGTATTGGTACTGTCAAACTGATTTACTCTTGAAGCTACATTTTAGGCATACAAACGTGCGATATTTATTTGTAATCAAGTAGTCTAAAATCTTAATCTGTTTGGAGCTGAACCATAGAACATTGATTTTTAAATGCATATTGAAGGTGTAATCAAAATTGGATACTGATAATTGAAAATTAGGCTAATAATTACTTAGAACTGCTATCTTTAAAATCTTTGGGGAATATTTACAAATGGTTTGAATTTTGACAAAATGGGCTTTTCCTTTTATTTTTTAAATAGAACGGATTAAAGGATCTCTTTATGAAGTATATCATATTGCTGATCAGTAAGTCGTTGTTGTAAAAGGTTTATACTTTATTAAAAGCTATGGAATTTTTGATGAGCTACCAATTTTACTTTGTAAGTGGTAAAGGAAAGTTGAAAGTGGGATAAAGATGACTTAAATACTTCGTATTGTCATAATGATCTATTGGGTGTATGCTGCAGAATCAAAACTGGGATGTAGTTTATTAAGACGTCAACTAATTTTTTAGTATTGGTAGTTTTAATCTTTCATTTAATGTTTAGGACTGCAGTTGGTCAGCCGAAACATCGATAGGGCGATTTAAACAACCAATCAAATGAATCAAAATTCACCTCCATTGAACAAGCGAGTGGCTATCCGAACCCAGTAGCTAGATGGATAACGCAGTGGCGTTTGATGAGAACGGAACTGTGTTCAAGTCCTGGAGTGAAAACCAACTTTGGAATGCAGATGCATTCATCTGACAAGCCTTAACTTACTGTTCTAATAAATTTGAGACTGGTCGTAACAAGTGAACTTAGTTATATCCTTGTTTATATATATTAACTACTTATTAGGAAATTCAGGACATCTCAAAGGCTTATGTTGTATGTAATAATTATTGCAGGAACGTAGATCGAAATTTTAACTATTTTTAATTATCAATTATAGAATTATTAGCGACTTAATTACTGGACTGCATCCAGATATGGCACTATTTTATCGTTTGTCAGAAGTAATCGCAGGTCTGGATCTATTAGCCTCATTCGCGAAAATGTCATTAACTTATTCTCTCAGAAATAATTTCGGTAAGTACAAAGTACATTTCTGTTTAAATATTGATATCTAACCAAACGGTTTTCCTTTGCTATTTTGATCAGCTTGTCACTTGGCTTCGAAAATAGTAACAAAATTTACAAGGTTATTCTGTTAACCTCAGAATCAAGTATTTTTCGTCGAAATATTTTAGATCCATCTCATATATTATTATTAAATGTAAATAGATTCATACTTCCTACAATGATATCACTTCACGAGAACTGATATCATTCCAAATTCCGTTCTATAAAAGATGTATATTAGTCGGGTGTAAAAAAGTCAAACATTAATTCTCAAATTAACTCACATTCTTGTTAATTAGAGTGATAACGACAGATAGCCTATTATACGAGATATAACTGGCCATAACAATTTTTTACTTTTATGAGGTATATTTGAGTAGTTTATAGTTTTTGATATTACTCATACCATAGAAAATCTTTATACTTATAAAAATCAATGAAATGAGAACATAATGTGACTGAACTATCTTTTTATGGTTATTCAATTTAATTGGTGTTTTAATTTTGGTTAATCTAAACATTGTTTCATAAATTCTGTGTAAACTTGCGACAAAATGGATATATCGAGGTAATCCACACATTATACCTGTTACCAATTAGGACTGCTCAAAGATCAGTAGTGAACATCAACAAGAGTAAAACTCAAACCCTTACGAGTTAAATTAAGAATATGGCTAGAAAAAAGAAAGTAAAAAAAGATAAATACAAAAGAATAATGAAACTGAAGATCTAGACTAAAGTAACTAGTTAATTCAACTGGACCACTGTAAACGGTTATAATCCTTGTAACTTAAAGTCTACAAGCACTTGCTCGAACTCGAACCAGGTTATCTGCATACACTAACTCTGCTCAGATCGATGATGAGTGACTCCATGGGCGGGTGCCACATTTTAACACGACCGTCACTAACTTTCTTTCAGCTCACTCCATAAGACTTGCTTATGTTAATCTTTCAATATAATTTAATATAATCTCTATCTATTATATGGTAAGTATGAACTATTTAAGTTTATAAAATGTTTCTGAAAATAGTGGTGTTGTGCAATGATAAATTTAAGAAAATGGTTTGTTCATGATTTAATGTAAACCCATGTTTTTTACCTTTTGTACAGTTTGCCCAATATTTAGTAATATACTTGGGATTAAAAATGGACGGAATATTGTTACTGATGAAGAAAAGAAATCATTATCTGTGGCAAATCATACGGTAACATACAAGCTTAATAATCGCAATATTCTTATTTTATGTTTCGTTGTAGTATGCATCACCTGCTTTGAACTTTCATGTTATAACCGGACCTCCCATGGTAAGTGATTATTATTTTTTTCCTTTTCAAAACAACTTTTAAAACATTCTTACAAAAACTGTGAGTTAAAGAAGTTAAGTGTACAATTCTTGAGATACTGGACTTTGTTATAAATGGTGTTATGGAACCTAATGAACTTCTTTAAACTGACTTAAATTTACGTATAATATGTAATAGTGATTCGTATGTAGAAATACTAAATAAGCTTTAATACTACAACTAATAAATTCTATTATTATTATCAAGACATTTCACATTTGTGTCTAGTAATTTCGGAAACATTTACCTAAATTGAATTGTTCATAGTAACTACAGGATATCCAAGAAATAGATATGTATCAAGAATGAATACCGTTTCATAAACGATTACCCCTTTTAATATGTCATTTATGATATTTTGTTTGTTTGCGTATTTATTTTTTTAGTGTGGAAAAACAACCTATCTTAGACAAATAGCATATATACAAATTTTAGCACAAATAGGTTCATTTGTTCCGGCTGAATTCACTTCAGTACGTCTTACTGATCAAATATTCTTTCATACAGAAGGACAAGATGATATACTTTTAGGGGAATCTAGTTTTGTTAATGAAGTAAGTCAATCAATGTAAATGATTCATAGTTTAAACTAGAATTTGTGATTAAGTGTTACTAACTCTTAGACTAATTGTATACTGTGTAATATTTGAAAAAGATGAGTATTTTTAATAAACCTATAAGAGAAATCAAGTCATTAAATATGATTACTAGGTGAATTGAATGAATAATATTGAGTTACCGGTTTAATCCTGTATTTAGATTCATTTGTTGAAAGTTAACAATAAAGAACAAAACTTTCTTGTAACTCAACTACTAAAACCAATGTTAGTGAAATCGAATTTTGACCTCTCACCAAATGGTTAGAAATTAAGTGTATTACCTAGGAAATGACCTGTAAAATACACTAATTGTACTTACTGAAAATCTCAAAAGCAATCAAACCAAGAACATTCAAATGTTTAATGAATACTGTAGTTGCTTTCATCGACCGTTAATGAAGTCACACAAAAATGCCTAATTTAGTCGCTCATTTAAATAACATTTATATATTTCTCACTATCTGTTCACAATATTCAATGTTTTTTCTTAATCAAACCAAATTATAGTTAACACTTTTGACTTGTAAGTCAGCTAGCATACATCATTCTTACTGTTTTCTATAAATTCTATATTGATCCAATCTTGAATCGTAACTTCTTATACTGCTCCTTTACTTGTGAAATATAGACTTTACAAATAAGTTCTTCAATTGAATTATATATTATTCAAATTATTTTTCTTTTAGTATATTGTAGCTCTTTTGCAAACAATATAAAATCATGAATTGATATAGTGTGTTATGCGCCATTCTACAACTTTGAATTATTTCTCAATTTACTATATTTTACTGTTGAATATCTTAATTAAAATTTAGGATATTAAACATATAGCGATGAAATACATTGTTGATCAGATTGTAGTGAACGAAGACATGATGATAGGGATAAGTCATTTATTGATGAATGTAAAATTAAAGAGTGCTTTCATATTATATGAAAATCATACAGTAAATAAATGATTTGCACATCTTACATCAATTGTCCTTTATATACTTCATGACTCGTCCAATTCTGTTGTCATTAGAATTAATTTCAGTTTCCTTTTCTGTTCTCTTCAATTCAATTTTCTGTTGTAATCATTCTACACCTGATCTGTGTTACATACTACTTATATCTGTCAACATAAGTAGTATATACCACAATATAGTTTTGTGTATCAAAATGCTGTAGATAAATAGACTTTGTTGTGATGTCGCTCATTTGAATTTAAATTGACTATGCAGAACAATACATGTATATACCAATTGACGTCTAATGCTAATTCATGCGTAAGTAATGTTGAAATGTTTTTTTCTACATTACAGATAAGAGAATTGACTTATATTTTACAAAATTTCTCCAGATCATCTATTATTCTTATCGATGGTTTATGCCAGAGTAAGTTTATAGAGATATGTTTATTTAGTTGTGGCACTATCCATTCCTTGTCATCTATTTAGGAAAACAAATATTAAAATGTGTTATCAATTCTTGTTCTTTTATAAATGGGTTATTATATGAAGTTTGATCTCGAACAGTATGATGCTTCACATAACTCATAAATCATGTAAAAAAATAACATAAATTATAAATAGACGAAATCAAAAGTGGTGAGAAAATGATAAGCCATAGTTAGACAGTTTATAGCTAATTGATAAAATTTAAGCGTAATTTGATAGTATCATAATATGAGAAAGATCTTAAGACTGTTTCAAGTGGTTTCTATTTATTCTCACTTGGTCAACACTTATTATTCTTAGAAAATAAAGACGATCGTTTTGAGATTTTTTGATGTTCTTATTAGTAATAAGATATTATAACTTAATGTTTCCACTCATAACTTTTCAGTTTAATATTTGGATCATTTACAGTCATTAATTAAATGTATGTTTTTCAGTTATTAAACTAAATCACTTGTAGTAGCTTATCTACATAAGTTCTTGACAAAATATTCCAACTGATTTATTTGTTGTTGTGTAACTTACGCGTTTATTTCATTTTTCGGCTTATTTTATCATATTTATTTGAACACATAAATATTGGTACGAGAGGGCACCGAAAATATATATGCGCCACACAAAACAATGAGAATTTGAGAAGGAAAAAAAAAGTAAGGATCGTAAAAAATGAACAATAACAAACAGATTAGTGTAAGGTAATGTAATAATAATAATAATGGGGGAAACAGAAACGTACAATCAGGAGAAATCTTTCAGCTAAGGAAGAACACAACCATTTTTTTATGAAGAAAGTAAAAGGTGACAGCAGGGTCGCCACTGTCTTCTATTCTGAGCCATATCTGATGGCATCTCTAGCCATTGTGTTGCACCATCTCTGGGACCCCAACCAGGGAGTCGTAAAGGACCAACAGAAACCAGTCCTTTACGGCTTTCTTTCATACCACGACACCACGTCATACACTGACCACCTCTCCACTTTTTCCAACCAGTCCCAGTGTCGGCAAATAATGCACGACGTTTTCGGCTTACACTTGTGCTATGTTCGAAATAAATCCAACCATTAATCTTCATACTTGGCTTTCTGATATCATCAGTTATAACTGATGTGACAATGTATTGCGTCTGGGAAGTTATACGAGATTAAGATGACCTATTCAGATTTGAAATCAGATTGTATTTATAGAATCGTATGATTGAAGAAGTCATCTCGATTTGGTTCAAATACACAGCCGTTTAAATTATATAGTTTTTGGAGAAATGAATCAAAGTATTATTTGTTGTTATTTTTAAATTATAGTAGGCGTAATATTATCGTTACTTGCCAATTGTTATTTACTTTATAAAAATTAAAAAAACATGACTATTTGTGTCATGATTACTTTTAGTCATCTATGAGTTTCCTATTAGTGAACCAAAAACTGGACTACATCAACACACTTAATTTCCGACTTGATCTATTTTCAGAGAAAATATTTACCTCTAAAAATATTTTTGATTTGGATAGCTTAACGATATATGATTCAACGTTACTACTGTTTGACATGATTTTGGGCTTCAGGTTGTACACTTTATCTCACTAACATTTCTTACTGATGATTTTAACTTGGTAAGGAATTTGTATGCATGTGATTATTTAGACTCTGATAAAGAAATTCCATCTTATTACGAAGATATTCACTAATCGTCAAACTTAAAATTCTTTTTTCTTTGAGATACTGACCCTGATGAAGTCGAATATCTCAACTGGGCTATCTGTGAAGCATTACTGGAACACAAAGTGAGTTCAGAATGTAAAAAGGTCTCGCAACACACGTACTTATTTTTCTGTATCTAGTAAACGTAATAGATTCATTTTAGTTAAATTCAATGATTATTTCTAGTACGGGATTGGAATCAAAAATATATTCTCTTCATAGATTTCACACAGTTATAGAATCCAATAACTTATAGATGGAGCTACGTGTTAAAAATTGTTCACATCACCTAACTTTGTAATGTCACTGGAGTTCATTTACTTATGCTTAGTTTCCGCTGTGTTTTAGTTTAGTTTTTGATAGTTCTAAGAAATAATTATTATTGACAATTTCACTATAATGGAGTGAATATGAGGCAAGCTGAGCTTTCAGAACTGTTCAATTTATAGTTTTTGTTCACATTATTATTGCGTAATCGTTGAGTACTTCAATTGTTGAATCTATGTATTCTCTTACCCGTACATTGTTTTGTGATAAATAAACCGTTGTCAAGTATTGTACCTTTCTTAAGTCGATATTACTTTTTTTACAGACCTATTACTCAGTTTCGTTTCATTTATGACATAGTTACCCCTATATTGTAACTTCTTAACTATGTTGATGTGTGGTTAAGATTTTGTCTATATTATTAAATGAAAGAAGTCATATGGTCGAACTGTATAATTAAAAGTTATATACTTTTTGTGTTTTTTTTCTTCTGGAAATCAAGCAAATTAGCATTTGAAAACTATTCTAGATTAACAAACGCAAAGTATTGTTCTCAGCTATCATTTCACTATCACTATGTGATTTGTAAACAGGTCATTAATACTATTATGGACAATCTGAACTATATAATCAACACTTAAACTAGAGCATTCAACCACTCTCCTGCAATTACAACCCGATCACACATGCTTCGATGCAGCCTAAATGCCTATTCTTTTCGGTCATATCAAGATTTAAGGCAGCTAAGATTAATAATAACCCCTTAATTCTTTTGTAGGTTTCAATATCAAGGTTGGATTTGATAGTTTTAAATAATTTGAGCATTGAGTAGAGAGTTAGTGATAAATATATTTTTGTTAAATCACAATGGGTAGAAAAAAATTATTTATTTACTCTGATGAAGTGGCTTACGTTAAGTCACGAAACGTCAGGAATACAATTTTTCTACCCATTGGGATACAACAAAAATATATTTATTATTAACTCTTCTGGTTTTTAGAAGTAGAGTGTTAGTATTTAATAACAGCCAAATTGTTATCTAGTTCTGTTATGATTTTACAATCATTTAATAGTCAGTTACAGCTAACAATACAGGAATCCATTGTACTTAGCCATAATAAGCTGATTCTTAAGATGGATCATGATCATATCATAAATGGATGCATGTTTTGAACTAACACTCGAAAAGTGTACAAGTCAAAACTTTAAATTCATGTCATATACTTTTCTCTTATTTTTTCTGATGTCATCACCAATAACTGAAATGTTTGACGCTGTTTGTTAATGTAGGCTTTCACGTTTTTGGCAACTAATCGTTATGAATTGACCTCCTTAGCTTCATTCTATCCAAATGTAGAAAAGTAAGTAACATGCATTGAAACTGGACTATCTTTTGCTGTTCACTATCTGGCTTCGACTACAATACTTCAATATATTACTTTCACTTATATATAATTTAATAATCGTACACAATAAAATGGATTTTGTGAACGACGTCATAAATATAGCTAACAGTTATTCATTTTAATAGTTGAGATCATAAGTCAATTGAAGCTAGACCACCATGGAAAACCTGGAAGCACTGGATGGCCATTTCGTCCTATTATGGGACTCGTCAGCAGTTATTTATTTGTTAACATTAATTCTTGAAATTCATACAATTTGAAGACATAAACGAATAACAATCACAAAAGAAGGCATGAAAACTGAAAGAGAAATAGGCAAAACTTTAAGTTGTAATCATTCGATATAAATATTAAACAATAGTCTTATCATTATATTCATGAAAGGAACCTATGGACTTCTATCAATAATCATACTAAGACAAATAACTTTGTACATAGGAGTTGTTTGAATCAACTGTATATCATTTTAAAATAGAAAACTGAGGTGTTACTCACTGAAGTTTTATTCAATAAAAAAGTGTTATCGTCGATTTCTTTGTATTTATTACCAGAATGAGTTTCAGTTGACAGTGGCTTTACATTCGTAATTCATGAACAAAAGCGACTAATCGAATAAATTCACATTTAAGTCAGCCTTGGTAGTATACATAATGAAATGATACGGTAGAATATATTCTTTTTTAATCAAGGTCAAATATATATGCCATAATTCACACCAATATTTTAATTTTCTTAATACCTGACTAGTTGTTCGATAGTGAAGTGTGGGTTATTATGATATTTTAATTCTTTGAAGTATCGCCAATTAAATAGTGTTTATTACTGTGGGAAGTTCGTATAGTATTTCATAGATTACATCATGGACTGATCTTAGTTTGACAGGCATTGAAAACCAAGAAGAATTAGGAAGCTGCTACATCCTAGTATGGAAATCCTTAGTAGGGTGCTTCCACGAAGAATCCGATAATAGGACGGAATATCTTCTTAATGTTTCCTTGTTTTTAATGATTGTTTAAATAAAATTAGTCCGTGATGCAAACTATGAATACTTTATACTTATAACAATAAGTATTAAGATTGATCCATAGTACTACTATAGTTTTCAAGAACATAAAATGACCCGAGAAAAGCCATTAATGATTAGCGCAGTTTGAAATTATGTCATATTTTGATTACAAGAGTATGAGGTTATGTTATTTGATAATAAATGTTTACTGGGTAAGTAAATAAATACATTTGATCTATCCAAACACACATGCATAAGGATGAAATCTAGGAAGTGAAGTTAATTAAAAATGTCTATCAAATAGAAATTCAGTTTACATAACGAAGAAACGTGAAGTATAATTTTGATAATTATACGATATTTTTGTTTTTAAGGATGGTTGTTGAAATAGTAATTGGGGAAACTAAATGAAATGAATTGATGAGCATTGAGATGTCCTATTAATTATAACACGAATATTTCGCGATGTCTTTATATCATATAGTTACAGATAAAGATATAATTACTGGTAAAGTTTAAAGAAAAATCCATTAGTCTAATCAGTACATATTCATTCAACGGTGATTGAATTAAGGAACACATTCTATTTAAAAAGGAAGAATGTATTTGTAAAATCTCATTGAAAGAATTTGAAGTAAATCCAACGTTCCGCCTAGCAATCTGGTCCAAGCTTTTTCAAGGAAATATAATCAAACATCAACATCGTCGAATATAAATAGGTACATGGTTCTCCGGTTTACTGTCTACTGAAGAAGTAATCCAATCAACGTTAACAATATTTAAAGTAGGTATTTACATTAGTGTGTAACAGACATGTGATGTGAAACGAAGTGTTAAGGTAACAGATTATGTGTATACCTAAGTGAGAAGAAGAAATTTCATTCACTATATATTGTCTTCGGTCGGTGAATATTAAGAAAATATATAATTTTTATATATGATATGAAGCCAGTGGGTCCTGGGTTCGAATCCTGCGGGGTGCGGGATCGTGGATGCGCACTGCTGAGGAGTCCCACACTAGGACGAAACGGCCATCTAGTGCTTCCAGGTTTTCCATGGTGGTCTAGCTTCAATTGACTCATGATTTCAATCTGTGAAAATTTCTAAAAAATCTCCACAAACCGCTTCTGATATATGATATGAATTAAAAATGTCACATCATGCATTAAATGAAGATAAATAAACAAGATAAAATAATGAATTGAAAGAGGAAGAATGTATTTGTGATTGAAAGTTTGTGTTATTTTAGTGTTCCAGTCAATTAACATATTCAGATAAGACAACTGATTTGAACCGTTGAATTTAATATTTCATAATTAGTTAATACGATATAGATAGAATGGAATAAAGTTTACTTATTAATTATTAGTTGCCATGGGAAAGGTAGTTATATTCCATCTCTCCTACAGTGAAACTATACGATCAAATTTAGACGAAATTTCTTACATATTCTATTTGCTTTATTTTACCGTTAGAGTATTATATACATCTACTTTTCATTAGAGTTATGAAATGGTATGTAAATTAGAAACATTTAACTTTGAGAACAGAATGATTATTTTATTAAGAAACACACAGTCTAGAAAGGAACTGCAAAATAATCATGAAAATAAATTAACCTCAATAATAAACATAATAAGAAATATTATATAACTAATTTTTTTCCCCAGTTGGGCAATTTAATGATTAATTTCAATGATGATATAGTTAAAATAATATTCTTGAATTTTCAATATCTAACTATTGATTCAATGCCAGTGTAGTGAATAAGAACACGAGTGTGGGCAACCGAGTGCATTTGAACACAGAATTACAGAACATTTTAGTAAAACCTGAGAACCATGCAGTAAATACTTAATTTGCAAAATATCAATCCATCGTCTCAAACTTGACTGTTTCTTTTGCAAATATCAGTTCTTCGTCTCAGATTTCATTGTTCATTCAATTTCATACCAATTGCCTTCCGTTTTCGTTTTTTCCTTCTCGATCGTCTACTAAAATACACTCTGTTCTTGACTATCGTTATATACTACTTTTGTGGATATAAGTAAATCACATTACACCAGTAATTCTATGAACTAACTTATATTCTAGTTTTATTGTTTTCAGATGATTATTTCATTTATCTATTCTTATTTTAGTTATTATTTTTCAGTACAGGAAGAAGTTTTAAATATTTATCATGGACATCATAATATAGGTACATCAAATCGAAGTATTCATGAAACATCATATGCTAATAACAGCAGTTTCACTGAAGAATCTCCGTTAGTTCATAGTTTTTCTGATGAAAATTATTCAAATACATTCAAAATGAATCAACATCTAAAACAATCCGAATTCATTGATTCAACCAGTCAAAATCTTGGTCAAATCACTTTTACTTATAAATTAAACAAAGGAATATCACCCAAAATAATGTACGGTAGGTAGACAGCCTTTCCTCTTTTCTTGTGTGCCTTTAATCGCTCAATATAAATCGGTAGCAACGAATGACGACAAATAAACCATAGAGTATAAATTCTCCGTTCAACTCCGTATACTGTTAATTAGGCTAACTTCGTTGGACAACAGTGGTAATAAAAGTCAAATACGAATCGGGTCGGAAGAACTTACTTTGAACAGACTGTAGGAGAAAAGCTTCCCAGCCTATACAACTTTATTAAACGTGACTCAACATTTATAGTCAGACAAAAAAACCAATCTAAAGATGTAAGACAGAGAGAGGAAGCGATGATAAAACATACGCACTACATCCTCATAAAAAGTCCGGGTTACAAGTAAATAATTGTAAAGGTTGAATGCATTTGTATATAACGACTCCAAAATATTAGATCAGTTGGTCTTTCGAAAAGTTACAATCAGTTACGTAGGCGTGAAATAGTAGTAAATGCCACAAACTAAATAGAATATACCTGTTCGCTAGACAAAACGTTGAAATTACTTAACTTTTAATTGAGATTATGAACCGATTGATGTTAGACCACCATTGAAAACCTGGAAGCACTGGACAGCCGTTTCGCCCAGGTTTTCAATGGTGATCTAACATCAATCGGTTCAGGATCTCAATCAAAAACTTAAGAATCTCCACAACCCTTAAACTGTTAACTTTTAATTTCTGAGATTATTTAAATACACTTTCTACATTAACTGGCACTAATCATCAGACAATTATTCACAATTTAAATTCGTAAAGACTCAGTTATCAATCTTCCTGCGCCTTATTGACCTCGATCCCAAGGGTTTGTTACGTAACATCCTTTCTTGAATTTTACTCAGATGGTCAGTTTCGTTCATGAACTAAGATGCTAATAATTTATTCATAGAAATTCTGTTTCCGAGTTCTTAGTTTTCTCTTCGGGAATATTTATATATTTAGCCTATAGATAAACATCTGTTTGAACAACTTCCTAATTCTTCTACAATCGTTGTCTTCATCCACATGCTCCACTCAAATTTAATCAAAACTATTCTTACGTAAATTATGAATATTTGTTTTTTTTAAGTATGCTGCCTATTACAAAAGAAACAATAGCTTCTTGGGTTTCTTTCATAGCCAATGTTTCGTACAGTGTGAAATTGATTTTCCTCTTAAATACGTAGGAAATTAGTTATAATTGGTGGTTGGGTACCATTCAACAATTTGGGTCAATTTTAGATGTATAAATACACACAATCAAAGAATTTTTAATCATTGGAAATCACTGATTGTTATGTCAAGCTCTATGCATTTGAGATTAACATAATAATCACTAATGTTGTTACTTCAGTTGGAAGTTTTTTCTTCATAAAACCAGGTATTAAATTGGCCAGGCTTACTGCACTTCCTCAAGAGATACTGGATCGAGCTGAAGAACTTTTGAATTCGTACATTGAAGAAGAAAATATAAGCGATGATGATGATGATGATGATGAAAAAACCAACAACAGAAAGACTATGACAATGAGTGATACTGGAGATTTAAAACAAATTGGTAAAAATATCAGCTTAAATTTTCAAAAGTTGCAAAGACAAGTAAGTTTTTCTCCAACTGTATGTTAGCTAGGAGGAGGATTTTCTTGAAATGAGATCATTGTATGCAATGAGCCGTTTTATATTCGTAAAACTCCTAACAAACAACTATCAATATTAAGTTGAGCAAACATAAAATTGAGTATGATTTTTACTTCTATCAACTCAGTACCTGAATAGAATAAAATTACGAACACAAAAGTCTCATTGTACATCCAACGAACACATTAGGTGAATAATTGATTACTGTATTACCAGAAATAATTATGCACTCATACTCAAAATTTGAGGAGCGATATCATCTTAATTCAATAAACAGCACTGAAATATTGAACGAAGAACTTAAATATTGTTCATTTATGTACTGCTAGATATTGAAGACCCAAAATAACCAGACTGATTTGGATGCATCCATTCCAACGGAATCCTCACATTGCACTACTGTAACAGATTCGAGACATGGTATATCAAATTTAAAATGGAAAAATACCAAGAAAAACGGTTATTTAACAGGAAACGATCGCTTGGAACATGAATTGTTCAGACAATTACAAATCATATCAAAAGCTTACCAAACAATGAACACAAATCAACATTTATCTAATTCAGAAAAAGAAGACATTCAACATGAAATTTCAAATTATCTCAGATTTCTAGAGTGTCGATACCAAAGATTATTACTGTGAACATAAATACAACAAAGATTTCTTCCTAAGTTAGTTGCTATTTGTTAAAATACCTATTAGGGTTTTTTTAATGTAGCTCTATTGTTCAATTTTCTTCGGAATAATAAGTTCGTTTAAGCGAAATTACAAGATCTATTATTTTATGCGTACCTACATATGTAGGACCTTTAATATTGAATATAAATTTTTACAACTGATCAATTGCACCGAAACAGAACATTTGACAGTATCTCATATACATATACCATTAAATGATGCCCAATAACAGACGGATTTAATCTGGTCGTTTACGAATTCATAGCTGGAATAAATCAGTGATCTATAAATAGTAAATCTCCATTAAAAAGTGAAAACGTTTTCAGTTTATCGATGAAGAGTAGCATCTACAACTTAAATCTTATGTTTACTCATTCTTTTACGTACATGGATTTTCCACGTAGTGTAAATAAGTAGAACAAGAAGCTGTAGTTTTTCACTCTTTGTTTACTTACCTACTCCATCAAAAGTCGTGAAAAATTGGAGTTAATCGCTATGAGGCGTCGTATTGAAGTGAAATATAGAGAATATTTACTCAATTGTTGTTAACTATATTTATAGACAAATCGAAGAAATAAAGAACTAAGGGTTTGTGAGTCAAAGGAAATATTTCACCTTCATTATAATGCAAACAACCTGACCTTTAATAAATGACCATAGTATTCAGTTAGTTACGTAATATTTTATCCACAAGCTTATAACAGCAATTAAAAAATTCAACTATTCGCTCATTGATTTTAGTCAGTTACGGGTATGAGGGCTGGTGTCACTTCCCGGCTGCCCACACCGTGGAAGGGTATTTCTTGAGGAAGGTGAAAAGGAATTCGGATTAATGTCGGCCTTGACGGCCTGGGAGCGTGACCGTAGAGCCCTTGTGAGAAGGCAGCATCGCTGTAGATGGTGGTTGTCCGAGGGAAACACCTTGCTGCTGTCACACCCCTCTACAGTCAGCAGTACGACTTCGCCCTCAGACCTTGAGTTGCTGCTTTTAGTCTTACCGTTCTCCAATCGACCTGGCTGGCATGATAGAACCTACAGGAACATATGTTCCAGCCAATATAGCTCGGTTGGGTCATCACGATAGGCAAGCCCGACCACCGCGTCAAGGTAGTAGCTACTTCATACTGTTAAGATGGGGCCAGGGAAACAGAAATATACTACGTGGATAACCGCGCTCTTTGGTGAATGTTTACCAAATAATTATTTAATGAAATGCTAATACAGTAACAACTAAGCGGTGTTTTTTGGCTAACCAGTTGCTTCCATATCTACTAACTAAATATTTGTCATTCCCATTCTTATTCAAAAACGTGTCAGTCAGCTACAACGTAGGACCAGGCATATATATGCATCGGTCCAAGTTGCCATACCTCATTAACACAACAAGATGGACACCGGATTCATAAAAGTAGTTAATTCAGAGGTGGTAATATATAAAAGAAAGATTGCAATATCCTTATTGCAAAACGTGCTAGTGCTTATGTAGATTTATTATTTATGATACACTTTGGTTTGCATCTTACTGATATAATGATTAGATAATGAGAAGATACGTCCGACTACTTTGGCTTATCGGTTGTATGATGAATACAGTAACGAAGTTTGTGGTCTTATTCTTAATGGCATATAAAAGAACTCAATACATACGTAATTATAATTACGTGTAGCAAAACACCTTAACTTAGGTAGATTTAGCATTCTTAATAATGGCCTTACAAAATGTATGAAAATTTTTTACTTAGTTTCCTCTTTAAAATTTGCCTATAACGTCAAGTAAGATCTAGTTTCCACCCTGGTGTCTTTACACGTCATTTTTTCTGCAGTTAAATTCTCTGTACAAGTCCATAGATATGATTAATGCATCTTGATATGATCAAAACATTACCTCTCTCCAACAGTTTTATTGTCAAAATTTGAAGTGAACATTCAGTGAATTTTTGATACGTTCGTACACTGTGCTAATAATTTCATTGCGCCGACTGTAAAGAAGATTGCTTCTATCCTCTAATTTTCCTTACACCACTAAATAGAGTAAAAGCATCAGTTTATTGGTTGAAGCTTTTTGATGTTAACCCAGTATAATCAATCCAAGTGCATTAAGTTTATCGGTCATAGATCAACAAAAATGACTAGCACATTTAAACTGAGTGATTATCGTTACCATAAATATCTTGAAATTACATGGACAGCGTTCACACTGAATAATTTACTGTAACGCAATACAAACTTAGTCGATATTGATTTGCTTTTCGTAAGTTGTAATCGGAGATCGCGCATTCCTAACAATTGTTTATAATGCTAAAATAATGATACAATTGTAATACCCTATCAAGTAAGAAATCTAATTTCCAACTTTAGCGAGTAATTTACCAGGTTGCTTGTGATGTCCCTAAAACAAATTTCTGCAGTAGTTGTAAAGAATATCTTCTAACATCGAATCTTCAACGTGCGTACGAACGATAATTACTGTAAGCAAGGGTTCACAGTTAGACAGCTATTTCAGCAGACAGCTTAACTTGTAGGATTCAAACAGCTGTTTATCGTTTTGTTGCATATAGTGTGGTAGAAAGAATACATTGACTGTTAAATGATGGTAAGTGACAAATTTAACACCAAAAGGGAAGTAGCTTGCTAAACAATATAATCGGTTTACGGGACTAACTAGAGATTGTCTGGTAGAATTAAATTCAATAGTAGGAGTTACTACAGCAGCTAGATGACATATAAGTAACTTAATGTATCAAGTTTATGTACGTCGAAATGCATTCACATATTTATCAATCAGTTTAAACATGGAGCCTGATATAGATGTCGGTCAACCTAAGTCAATATTCCATGTCAGCGAAATGAGGTTAAATTAAAAAGTAGAGAAATAATAGTAGTATTAACGATAGTCAGAAAATAATAAGGAACACGGCTCGAGAAGGGAAGAATTAAACAAGACGTATGAATTAATACTGAAGCTCAAAACTCAAGGGAAGTGATACGTCTAGACATTGTAAGCTGTGATTGACCAACCCACTCAATGTATTTGTTATTATACTCTTATTATTATTATTTCAACACATAGATAATGGTACAAAGAGGCACCAAATACATGTGCGCCACACAAATCTCATTCGATATGTGTGAGGGCTATGATACTGCCCGGGTGCCCAGACCGAAGCAGGTGGTGTTCTTAGGGGGCCACACCCCGAGCCTTTGACCTAATGGTCTGATCCACAAGGCAGTGGAGCATCGTAAGGAGATGCAGTCCCATGGAAGCCGGTGACCAGCAATTGGTTCATACGCCATTTGTTCCCGCAGGATACTGGAGCCCATGTGCACCATTGGTTTTGAATCCGGTTAAAGTGTCGGACATTCGCTTTTCGTCCTCTCAATTTCGTAAACAACACCCCCGCCACGAGAAGGCAGTGAGTAGGACTTCCCTGGCAGAGGCTATATACGCGTGGCCGTGTGAGAGCATTTCGAGATGGAGAGCGGACTCTCCCCACTCTCGGCCGTACCAGGGCATTTGGGGGCTACTCTTATTATCCATATCTGGATAATAATTGAAAGACTAGATAAATGCAACTGTAAGGACGTGGTTTGGTCAAATTCCCAGTTATAACAGGAAGATAATGATTGGATATATCTGGGCCACTGTGGTTCTGAGTCATATCATCCAGCTTCTCCAATAACTGATGACATGGACTCGACCAGGTAGTCTGCATCCGTCAGTACGGATCAGGTACAATTTTAATAACTTCATGGTTTGATACAATATCTTTTTGAGGCACCTCTATACACTAACCAGCCAACATTCCAAACCGTTGTAGGTGGTGGTTGGTCATATGTAACACGTCTCAGTTGATCAGAATTCACAGCCTCCAACCAATTCACAACAACTGCCTAGCACCCCACACCTAACGACAGGATTATTTACTACGCTATTCAGTGATACACAACCAAAGTCTCAAAGACACAGTTGATCGAAAAACGGTATACTACGCATGACTTCTATTCTATATTTCAAAACCATAAAGTAATCGAAAACGGAACCTGTGATTTTATCGTCTTTTAAACAGCCGATAGTTACCTCACAAACAACACAAATGAGGATAGTTTGTAAAAGCGAAGGAAATTTTTTTATCCATGTTGAGATACTAATCCATCAAAGGGATTTCGTAACGTTCAAAGGAACCTCGGGAAATAGAGTGTATTTCGTGGGACATTTCAGCTGATCTGCCGTCTCCAAAGCGTCCACCAGGTTGCCATGTTTTTTCTGACCAGTGATCACTGACCCATCTATGGAAACTTCAACTTGTAAAGCCCAGTCACCAGGCCCAGATGACCTAACGCTTAGCTCTTCCTAAGGATACTGGAAAACTTCTAAACCGAAAACTGAGTTGTTCGGGGAGAAAGCGTTTTAGTAACGGCGATTGTCATTCTCATCCTTAAAAAGGGCTCCAGTCATCAATGTGACAGGTATAAGGGGATAAGAGTACTTCCGAATTATTGGCTACCATCATGCTTCGCAGATTATCTAAAACCTATGACTGACTAGTGAGAAGCAGGCTGGGTTCCCAACAGGTCGTCGATGTATGTAAAGTCATGAGAAAAGATTGAGATCATATCCGAAAATCTAAATCTAATTAGCTTATAGTACAAAGATAGATCAATTACGCAGAACTACTATACAGGTTACAAACAGTTACCTAAGGTAATTAGAGCAGGAATAATGAGTAGTACATTTAAAATCTTGATACTAGAGGTAGTCCGCGTATCTTTATTATCTTGGTATAGACTTAGTTTTTCTGTTTGTAGAGAAAAATCACAAAGCACGTCTCTCGAAAAAGACCAGTGAACAAGAGCATGAAACAACCAGTTAAGTTTTGTTCTAATTCTTCATAAATATCCATTTTGGAGTTTCAGTACCCGAGATTTCGGTACAAATAAAGGAAACAAATCTGTCAACAATGAGATGTAACTAACAGTCAAAGAACGAGAGAATATAACAGTAGATTGAACAATGCTGCGGTAGTTATGAAACCTGTCTCTGACTACTAGTGTTTTTGAAGTGCGATTACGAAAATAGATGAACTTTCGATGCCCAACAGTTCCTAGTTTGGAGGCCATTTTCAATAAACAGATTATCAATCAAGAATTATGTCGTAAATCAAACACAAACTGAAATTGTTATGCATAAATAGTGGGATAGTGTATAAGCTTCCTCACGATTGTTTAGCGAAAGTATTTTAATTAAGAACTAGAGATTTAAGCCTGCTGATAAGTAAACAGTATGACCATTCGAAATCATAATACAGGAACGTTTTCTGAATGGTAAGTGAAAATATTCATATTCAAAAAAATATATGTCGGTCTTGAATAAGGAAAAAGTATACCATTTTGCTACCATATGGCATAGATTTTAGTGACCCAAAACCTGCTTGTTACGAAACATGATAAACTATGTCGATTGGGTTACAGAAATGAAAATGATTGACTAGACACTGAATTGATTGAGGTGATCCGACAGATAACTCGCTTACAGAGCTTATTTGTGAGCTACAAATGGATTTAAAGAAGAGTTATCCGGCCATGAGTTCACCTAAATATCCCAACAATCCTTCAAGTCAGTGATCGAGAATCTCACTGCCTTAATTCAAAGTTCGAGATCAATAATATGCTAAGACTACATGTATAACAACTTATAACGTAGGTCTATGCAGTTTAAGTAGTAAGTAAAACACCCGAACGACGTATGCAATACCTAACATATGATGACTAGGCATTTTAAATGGACTAATGAAGGAATTTGACGTTAGCCAACCGCCTTCAATATTAGAAGTTACAAAATTAGAAAAATAACGTTATACACTCTCAGTTTATAATGCAACAATGTGAACGTATTACATACATTGGGAACAAACCATAAGTTAACAAACCAAATAGGAATAGTAAGCAAAATTCAAAAAAATATAGACTGTATATCATTATGATATATATATAAGTGACTTCACTTGATATATCTATTATCAGGTAGGAAACAGTGTAAAATGACTGTCCACATATTGAAGAGTGAGCTGGTGTGGGAAGGCCAGCTATGTTTTGAATATTTATATACAGAACCAAGTGAATAGGTAACACTATAATCCAGATACGTTAAGTTGTAGGTACGTGCAAACTCATTGATTAGCCCGAGCAGCCACGGCAACCGCAACTTTGACACTCAACAACTTTACCTTCTTCTAACTTTGACTTTGGTACTCGACATACGCAATTAGTTCCAAAATTTGTATCTCTCGATTGGATGCACCTTAAACAACATAAGTTTTCGTATCCTTGCTTTTTCCATTTGGCGATCAGATTTGCATCGGCTATCTTCTCTTTGATGCAGAATTCATACAGCTCCTGAATTTATTAAGAAGATAATGGGTATGACCTACTTTAGAAATAGCTTTTCGTTTATAATACAAGTCATATATGAACCGAGACCTCTTATGATGGATGCGAAATATTGGCCATTCAGCCTCAACTTTACGTTTCCCCTCATGAGGGTCAGTTTCAGCCTCGCGCATCTTCCTGTTCAATTCCTCGATTGTTGGTTCGATCAACTCCCAACCTTCTGGTGGCGGTTTCTTACTCCTCCTATAAGGCGCCATTCCGATAAATCTAAAGACCCGCGTTTATATACATTATACAATTAACTCTCAGTTCGAGGGGTAATGACTACATATCAAATAGCCTATTTTAATCGTTGAGATTTATAGAACTTCGAGGATACAGTCTTACCCTAGACGTTCCAGAGCTTTCAGATTTTCAATGGTGGTCTAGCTTAGATCAACTCATGAATTCAACGACTATTACTAAATTCTCCTCAAACCCCAATTCGGATAGGTATAAAATCTGTCAGTTCAGTTGAAAATTTGAAGTCATTATTACTTCATGCATCATTAAATCTAACAAAGGTTCGATTTCCAGTCTGATGGGTCATATATTTCTTATTCACAAGTGCTGTAATTTACTGATTAGAGACGATACATCTCCAATCCTTGATTTCCAGTCAGTGAACATTTTTAATGCTTAGCAAAGCAGGCTACATAGGCGAGCACATGAACAGTAAATGTTTAGCCTGTGGTAAATTTCATTCATGTGATTCATGTATCTGTAGTGACTCACGTTTATCACGAGAACACGACTGGTTTAATAAAAACAATTATTATTATAACCAACTGTACCAGTGTTTGTTTTAACGTGCTTTTGTTTGACTGTGCTAATTATAGCTATTTTGTGCTTCCATTACCTTCCATCATTGTTCCGCGGTTTTTGGTACTGTTCGCACGTACTCCTGTCTTCTGCTTTCGCTTGTACCTCTTCTTGGCACGATCTCGGTATTCGTTCAATACCACGAGATCGCCAACGAAATAAATCTGGTTACGTTCAATCCTCGCCTTCTGATTTATCTGGCACGTGTTTCTTGGTAGCGGTGTTCACAGTTAATCTCAACTCGACGCCACGCTACAATTGGTAATCCCAACTCGAATACAATTGGTGACCCGTATTTTGGAACACGCCTCAACTTCTGATCAAATCTTCCAAAGAAGCTAATTCGGTGAGTCTATGATTTATCTATCCACGTCTGTCGTATATTTTCATATTTTTTAATATATAATATACGCGACATGACGGATAACGATAAGAATAGTATTAATATAATAGACTCACACGTATGTGTACCGAATCCTTGTCACTTTTTATTCGCGTGATGATGAATTCCACGCTTTGTTCGAGAAATGTTACCCTATTAACGATTCTCCTCGCTGACCCGACTGCTTGGTACGGAATGCATACGCATAAGCATATCCGTCTACCACCCAGCACCAAATGGTTAAGTTGAACGGTTTCACTGCCAACTTAAAAGTGTTCTACGAGCACACGAAAACGGCAACTGGCACGAAACCATACCGCTCGTTCTTTTAGGGGCGAGAACGAGCTTAAAGGCAGATATCCAACGTTCCGCCACTAAACTTGTATACGGCACGACATTGCGTCTGCCCGGAGAATTCTTCACACCACGGAGCAGACCTAATTTCGGTAAATCAGACTACGTCCATCGACTGTCTGCATTTATGCGAACGCTGTCTCCGGTGTCAACTCGAATACAACATCGACAGGTCGCTCTCCCTCGAGAGTTATCTACCTGTTCACATGTTTTTGTACGAGTAGATTCGGTACGCAAACCTTGGCAACAACCTTACGAAGGCCCTTTTCGCGTGATCGCTCGTCACGAAAAGACCTTCAAGGTTGATCGATATGGACGCGTCGAGATCGTCAGCATTGATCGTCTCAAACCAGCACACGTCGATGACAGTGCCCTATCTGACACCCTGAGATTCAGTGCTAGACCTATCAAACCTAGCGGGATCCTCAAACCATCTTCAGATCCCACGCTAGATACACCTGAGACCTCATTCTCACGTCCCAGTCAACAGCACGCGTCATCTGCACCGTCTACGGACGAGACGACAGTCTCACGACCAGATCAGCAGACCACGCCGCCCTTGACTTCGGATGAGATTACAGGCTCACGCGACGCGAACGAGACTGCCGTCTCACGTTCCGGTCGCCGAGAACGGTTACCCGTGCGCTTCCGCGACTAGTCGCACAGTCAACAACCGATACGGTGTAGGGTTATTCCTATGCTACATGCATGCTACACTCCTCTTTTTTTGATTTTCTTTTTGTTTCCTGAGCCCACGCCTTCGACCATCTCCGTTTGGTTCCGTCGACTTCAGTCAACTTTGGCGAAAGCTGGATTGGCCACCCACGCTCTTGTCGACGTACTCAGTCGATATATTGGTTTCGAATGCTTGGCATACGCTTGGTCTCGAACTTGGTCGTTACAGTCGCTTCTGGTCTTTTGGCTCAACGTGGCTTCGTCCTACGTCTGCAGCGTTTCTGGTGCGCACCTCTACGAACGCCCTCTTCAGATTCTGGATACAAACCACTCTGGTGTAGCATGCCAACTCAAGCAACAAATACAGCACATCGCTCCTGGTACCGTTCTCCGAAACGACCTTCGTTGGCAACTCGACGATCAACGATCGCTTTCCTGTTCGCCAATTCTTCCGTCCTACAATCGCTCGTCAGCCGATCAGTCCCACGATTCAAACCGCTATTTATCGAAAGTGTAAACCCTTTCTAGCGGGGGGCTCCTGTAGTGACTCACGTTTATCACGAGAACACGACTGGTTTAATAAAAACAATTATTATTATAACCAACTGTACCAGTGTTTGTTTTAACGTGCTTTTGTTTGACTGTGCTAATGACAGCTATTTTGTGCTTCCATTCTTTTACTTACACTTTGATTGTAACTTCGCGCGAATCCGGTTACCTTCTGTAACCAAGGTTGTATCCTGGCACGATCTCGGTATCCTTTCGATGCCACGAGATCGCCAGCAAATAAACCTCGACTTGGTCCATTAATTGCCTTCTGATATTCGGCTTCTCGGGGATTTTATGGAGTCATTTGGAACGAGCTTCTTACGCCTTCTGATCTATTTGGCACGTGTTTCTTTGTAGCGGTGTTCATAGTTAATCTCAACTCGACACCACGCTACATATCTTTCATTATGCTGAATGCCTCAAGTGTGGCAAAGTGGGACTCATCAAGTCAGTTTGTGATACCATTGTCCATTTCATCGCAAGTAATACCAAACACTGTTATTATAGCAATCAAATACCAACCTTATTCACAACATCGAGTAAGTCACTTCATATTCGAAACCGATTGTATTCGTCCGGTGGTGATTTTCATGACATTATTGTTGACAGTGCCAGAACAATGTCCATCACTTCAGTCGCGAAATTGGAGTCATTAAATCTCAACGCTATAATTAAACTTATTATGGTTCTCGTTTAGAATATCACAAGTCATAAACTGCCTATTCTCGAGTGTTATGATTTGCTTATTAAAGACGATAAATCTTTAGTCTTAACTTGTCAAATCCCCATCATTGATTGCCAATTATCTATCCTGGGTCTAGAAAATTTGAGAATGTTTCGAAGATAGCTTTCCTCATTGACTACTGAAAACGGTTCTACTGGAATGCTCGATAACGCGTCAACCACGAAATCGACTTGCGAAGAATTACACACGACTCCAAAGCCCACTCATTCTGATGCTCAAACATAACATTTCTAGTCCTTCAAAACGAACATCAATTCTATAACTGTTACAAAATTTAAAGACCCAGAGATGAGAGTAGATGAAGTCTTTGAGTGCAGAATTGCCAAAACGTATGCAAAGTAAACAATGATGAAATCGTTTAAACAAGGAGACGGATGTGTAAATAAAAAACGTATACAGTCTTTCGATGTTACATACTATCGATTAACTAGGTAGTTACGAAAGACCTACCTGCCTTATACTGCTGTATTTCTGGAGCTACTAGTAATAAAATCATTTTAAGCACTTCCAATTATCATACTTAGTCAAGATGATCCTTCAAGACTAATTAATGTATGTTAAGTTACACCTCAGAAATAACGGGGCTATAGCATAACCAAAGATAATGCACCAGTACCTGGCAAGTATCTGGAACATGAATTAGCTGATCGATCCATGTGAAGTCTAACAATGTATTACTTTCCACATTCTGCAGGGGAATCTGTGAAGTCCTTGAAAATGAATATCTTTGAGTACTAGCAAAGACTTCAGCGCGAACTTAATCATTTATACATAAAAATCAAAGGTTACTGATTGCATTGTAGCGGTAAATAAATCCCCAAAATAAATAGCACTAAGTTCTCGACATTGGATGCTGACCATATGTTTTAGTGGACTCACCTAGCTGAAGGCGCTCGGTCATGCATCCGCACCAGATCACGTGTGGTAACGCCGTGCTCAACTGCTACTGCAACCGCTAGCCAGATTAGATCAGAGAATTCCGATATATTGGTCATCGCCAAATATACTCTTCCGATCTCCTCGACTCTGTCTTTTGATTTCTCTGGGCGGGAACGAAATATATTAGAAGGTGTTACTGGTAGAAGCGTTGTCAAACACTGAATACCTGTGACATCATCAGCATCATTGAAAAATGGGCTTCCACAAATGTCGAAGACACTAATTAAATTCTTTTGGTTAAGTTGTGGTCAATTGGGTTACTAATTTCATGCTCGGGCTACCCAAAAAACTTCATCAAAAAACACCAGCCGCATGCATCATCAGAAACCAAGCCAAGCACAAAAATCAACAAAAAGATAACACTACCATACATAAAAGGCATATTAATCAATCCTGTGCAAATCAAAGGATGAAATAACAAAAGAAGACGAATCAAACATCATCTACAACATACAATGTGCCAACTGCGGAAAACACTACATCGGACAAAACGTGTGTTCTCTTCATCTTCGCCTGTATGAACATCAATTAGCAGTCAAACGCCATGACATGTCCTCATTTATATCAATGCACGTGGACAACTGTGGATACACATTCGACTGAAAAAAATGTGGAGATATTGGATAAAAGCAATTCCAAGTACACCAGAAAATTTTTAGAAGCTTGGCGCTTAGAGCAATCAGCAATAAACAACCACATAGAAATTGATCGAATTTATCAACCACTCAGGAAATTTGTGCACAAACATAGGGACAAAAGTCAAACCAATGGGAGATACAACCAAAA